GGAATGTCTCAACTCTTGGAGGAACTAAACCCAACCAAACCCAATTCTTCCACAAAAATTATCCTCAGGAAGCAAAGAGATAGACAACCTACAAGCTTTAACCGATAACAACCCATCACCCCTCCCATAAAAAATATCAACTGAATCGGATAATCTAATGTTGCTCAGCTTTTCCATTAAATCCAACCACTGTGCCACTTCCCAATCACATAAGTTTCTCCTCATTTGAATATTCCACTCCCAACCATATGAATCAAAACTACCAAAATCAGCCACATAACCCCCCTTGATTTGTTGAAATAGCATAAATCCTAGGAAATTGAATTTTCAAAGGAGAGTCCCTAAACCAAACATCATTCCAAAAAAGAATAGATTTACCATTTTCAACTTGAAACTTCGCATAAGATCTTAGAGAAGCCCCCACAAAGTCATCTTTCATGAAGTTATTGACAATTCCTCTCCATATCCAAGAGTCCTGAGAAGAGAAAACTTGGTTAATTGCCATGGTATTACAACTAACATTGTATTTGCAACACAACAATTTTTTTCACAATGACTCATTTTCATTAGCAAACCTCCAAACCCATTTTCCCAACAAAACACGATTAATAATATTCATATCAATAACTCTCAGACCTCCATTACTCGACGGTTTGCAAATATTCTTTCAACTCGCCCAGTGAAATTTCTTATTCTCAGCTCCCGATTCCCAAAGAAAATTAGCCATCAAAGAATTGATCTTCTGACTTACTTTACAAGGTATCTTAAAAATAGATAAGAAAAACATGGGTAAGAAAGACAAAACCGATTTAAAAAACACCACTCTGCCAGCCATATATAAACAAGAGGCTTTCCAACCTGCCAACTTTTTGTTGAAATTCTCCAAAACCGGTTCCCATAGACTCAGAATTCTTTTTTGTCCCCAAGAGGAAGACCTAGATAAACCGAAGGGAACGAACTAATTGAACAACCAATGGTCGAAGCCCATTCTTGAAGGATGGGATTGTTTACATTTATACATAGAGTTTACTCTTATTTAAGTTTAGATGAAGCCTCGCCATTAAACTAAAAATCCTTAAAACTCTTCTGACATTTTTAATTTGAGTGAGAGAGGCTTGGCAGAAGATAATAAGATCATCAGCAAACTGGAGATGAGACAGTGTAAAAGGATTCTCAGTCTTACCAATAGAAAACCCTTGAAAAAACTCAATTCAACGGCTTTAGATAACATTAAATGGAGCAATTCACCAACAACATTGAACAAAAGAGGAGAAAGACTATAACCCTGGCTTAACCCTTTAGCCATAGGAAACTCTTCTGTAGGGGAGTCATTTACTAAAACGGAAATTGAAGCTGATGATAAACAATAAGAAATCCACGAACACCATCTCTCACTGAAACCCACCTCTTTCATTAATCTAAGGAGGATTGTCCATTCGACATAATCATATGCTCTACGAAAGTCCACTTTAAATACAACCCCTTTAAGCATTTTTTTCCTCCAAAAATCAATTCCTTCATTAGCCATGCATGCACAATCCAACAACTGCCTTGCATAGATAAAAGCGAATTGGGAAGGGCTAATAACATCTTTTACACAAGACTGTAATCTCTTAGAAAGAACTTTTGAGAGAATTTTATAAAGACTACCCACAAAACTAATCAGTCTATAGTCTTCTAAACTCTCAGGATTACTTCTCTTTGTAATCAATGTAATAAAAGCATGATTAACCCTATGATTCCACTTCCTTCCCCTATAGAAGTCTAGAAAAAACTTCATAATCTGCTCCTTTAGACTCGACCGGTATTTCTTGTAGAAACCCATTGTAAAACCATTTGGGCCAGCGGCTTTTGCATTATCAGAGGATGAAATTGCTTCCCACACTTCTTGTTATGAAAAAATCTCTTCAAGAGAAGCACTTTTAGAAGCTGACAATTGTGCAAAATTAAAATTCATAAGCTCTACTTCCAGCGTTGATTTGGTACTAAAAGCCTCATTGAAAAAGTTAGAAACACTAGATTTAATCTCCTCAGGATTAGATATTACCTTCCCTTCAAATTTCAAGGAATAAATAGCATTGACTTTATTCATATTCAGAGCATTAAGGTGGAAAAACCTTGTGTTTTTGTCTCCATCTTTGATCCATCTCGCTCTCGACTTCTGAAACCAAATGCTCTCTTCAATCCTCATCAGTCTCCAAAAGCTCCTTTTTGAATTGTATCAACTGACCCCACTCCCATACAGATAGAATTCATCCTTATGAATTAATCTCCAAAACATTAATTTTACCTTCCAACTCTGAAATTGAATCTGCCATACCAGTTTCTAATCACCTTTTTAATACCCTGCAACGTAGTGAAAATTCCTCCATTATTATTCTTATTCTTCGAAACTGCCAAAAAGGATTCCACTACCTCATCGAAACCTTCTTCCTCTAAAAGGTAATTAAAAAATCGAAACGGTTTAGGGCCCCAATTTAGACTACTACCCTCCAACACTACCGGGTTATGATCAGAAAGTGATTTCGGTAGAAGATGCTGCAAGATATTAGGAAAACTTTTCAGGAAACTGCCAGAATTTAGAAACCTATCAAGTCTAACCCATGTTGAAGAAACTCTCTTGCTGCACCATGTGTAAGATCCTCCAGACAAAGGAAGATCAATGAGCTCAGCTTGTTGGACAAAAAACCGAAACAGGTCAATGGTATGTCAATTTTGTGCTTTCCCTACCTTTTCTTCTATATATAGATATGCATTAAAATCATCCCCAAAGCAAATTGGAAAATTCACACTTGTTACATAATTTAGCAACTCCCTGAAAAACTCTTCTCTGTCAGCTTTTATTGAAAGACCATATACATTTATAAAAGCACATTCCATTTTGAACTCCTTAAAATTCCCCAATAATGCTATAAATCTACTGTTAATCTGTTGGCCTGTTACTTGAAACAAGTTTTCATTCCACAAACAAAAAAGCCCACCCGCAGATCCCTGTGCTGGAGAATAACTCACTCTTTTAGTAATTTTCTTGTAACAAAAGTATGGTCGATTTGATCTTCTTAACAAGCTTTTCAACTACTCTGGACTTCTCTCTTCTCCTTAAGCCTCTTATATTCCATGATATAATTCTTATTTTAGACATTAAAAAAAAATTAACACCAAACTCCAAAAAAGCCAAAATCTAAAAAACCACATTTTCCAACATTTCATCCTTCCCTAGCAACCCCCAATTCTTCCTCCAATTTAACAATATTGTCTATAAAAGCCTTTTTCCCTTCCTTAAAAGAGATTCCCAGCATCTGACATACTCTCCTCTTGCTGATGTCTTTTCCAGACCCTGAAACATCATAACAATCTGTTGACATACTCTCTGTCATCAGACTGAAATGAATAGGAATTATCGTATTATTCTTAGAATTGGCACACCCATTTTTAACCAATTCGTGTCCTTCACCCGAATCTGTTGAAATGGACATTTGATTAATTTGAAAACCTCTTAACTCCTTATCTTGTATTGTAAAAACCTCTGATTGATTCTGAACTACTTCATTACTCGATCGAAACCATACACACCTTTCTCTGGACCTACTGTACACTCTAGCATAACTCCCCTTCTCCCTTATTCCTTCAGGTGCACTCCTCATTGAGATACGAGTTCCACGGATTCCTTATATGAGAATCTTCCGAATTACCTTCATAATTTTCCTCATTCAGCCCTTTACTTCCTTCTTCCTTCTCAAAAAATTTTGTTTGTACTTTGTTAATTCCCTCACATGATTCCTCTGCAATAGGACCTCTTCCAGCAATTTTTTGAGGAATTAACCGAAACTTACATTGATTTTCAAAACCAGCCCACTTAAATTAAAAGCATGCCCAACAAGAGAGATTTTTTTAATTGGAGAAAAAGATTCCCAATTGCGATTCGATTGGACTGAAAATTATGGATCCACATCACTCCTTAACCCAAGACTCACAAAATCCCTTTTGGGATTTTTCCCATTTTCAAAGGAACCTGACACCCCATTAATAGAAGGTTCCGTGTAAGTCTTATGTTTCAGAAACTGTCCCCCACCAAAAATTTTCAAACTACTCTCTTCCCCTTGCATCAACCACGTGTCCACCTTTGACCGAACCTCCTCAGGAGACATTCCACACTCAACTGTTGTCTGTGCAAACCTTCCTCCCTCGTCTTCCTTCGCCGCACCATCATCAATGTACCACTCAACTAAACCCCTCTCATTCTCTTCCCCGATTAAAGCAGAACATTATTAAACATCGATCCCAATTTAATTTTGACTTTAAATGATCTGCCATAAGAACCTATTCCTTGTCTTCACAGTAATACATACGAACTTCCCCCATGTCCCTACCAGTTTTTCCAGAAACGATTCATTCCAGCTTAGAAGAGGAATTCCCAATAACTCAACCAAGCAATACGCCGAAGGAACACCTTCATCATTTAACAGAGGAGCCAACCAATCAAACCAAACGGAAAGCTTCTCTCTGTGATTAGACCACGCATTTGAGAAATCTTCATTTGACTTGAACATGATGATGCACAAATTCCATACATATCCCCATCTCACTATATTAACTTCTACTCCTTCCTTTGCCAAAGCTTTCTTCACCAAGTCTGCCTCAAAAATGACTTTTGAAAACCCCTGTTAACGACCATTTCGTTCAGCTGAATTCTTCTGATGGAACATGCATTTCCCATACATTCCTTAGCCTTTTACTACCTTCCATTGTACCTCCCCTATTAACCCCAATTTCTTCTTCGATTCTCAGTCTATTTTCTACATTCAAAACTTCCTTGTACGTTCTACCATCCCTCAAACTGCTCGATAACTCTACCTCCTCCTTATATCTTTTTGTATCACCCCTTGATGGTTTTTTAACTTCAGTCGGGAAACTGCTATCATCAGCTATTCTATTCCTATATTTGTTGTATTTTGCAATCTCCGCCGAAACTTTCTTCCTATCAACCATCGTTCCATTAATATTTTGTATTGCCCTTCTTCTACCATCCTCCTTCGCAAACTGGACAAAAGCGAACGTTGAAGTTTTATAATTCGGTTTGTTCATAAAGTTTGGAATGTAGACCCTCAGAACTTGACCATGATGATTGAATAATTCCCATAATGCTCCTCTAGAGACCCTCTTACTTAGGTTATCAACAAAAACAGTCCAATCCTCACTGGAGGAATGACGACCTTTAGGACTCTCTCTCTCTCTCTCTACCTCACGCACTCATTTTTTATTGCTCATCTATATAATTGCTTCATCTTTATGTATGCTAATGACTTCTGACCCGAGATCTTTCACTTGAAGCAGGCACCTGGCCATGCACCTGCTAACAGGGAAGATGGTGGTATAGAGGCTCCAGAACCAGATCCTGCTGGCTTCAAGGAGCAGGTGACTATTTGTTTTAAGATCCAAGGCATTGGTAGGATGTTCTGTGCATGTTATAGATTTTGCTGCCCATGTACTATGGAGTAAAAAATATGATATTGTCTGGATTGAAAAGTTTAGGAGGTTCAAGGAAGTTAAGGGTATTCGAAAAACTGGTGTCACGAATATAAACCTAGTGTTGTCATTTCTTTCAACAAAATGCCTATTAAACGCTCAGATAATATGATTCTCAGCAGAAGTAGCCTGTTGTGTCTTTTCCCGATTGTAATCATCTCAAAAGTAAAGCATTCAATCTTTGTCCCGTCTTCTGCCTCTATGAGTGGTGTATATATATAATTCTCGCCCAATGTATGGTCTAATTATGTATCACAAATTATAGTAATAACTACCTTTGATTTTAAGGAGATTGATCTTTTTTTAATTAGGATAGAGTTATTTAAGTTTTGAAGTACTCCTTTGCTTGCTGTTGCATATGTGCCTATTTATTCAATTTTTCCCCGCAACTTGCTTCCATTTGCAAATTTTCTTATACACTAATGCATGAAAGTGCTGATGTATGTATTCCTTCCGACAAGCCTGCACTATTCCAGCTGTTTTTTTTCCACTAATAATTTATCCTCTCTCTCTCTCTCTCCATGTCGTTCCTTTTTTCTATGTCTTCTATCTTCCCTCACGCCCGCTTTTTTCCTGCATGATAAGGAAAAGTTGGGATGTTATGTAATTCTTATATGTTAATTCTGTTTCATTTTTTTTGTAGGTTTCCATACTGTTTGCAGAATGGTATCAGATATGTGAGCTTCCTGTTGCAGATGATGGGCCTTGTAAGCATTACATCCTACAATTGTATCAAAATGGACTGCTTAAAGGGGATGATATAGCGGAACGCTATTTCCGTATTATCACGGTGAAACTCCCAACCCCACCACTTTACCTTGTTACTTTTAAATTCACCAGAGAAACTCAGGAGACCGAACTCATTTTTTTACCTTTATGTTAGGATCTGTCAATTGCACATTGCCTATCTTCTGAGGTAATGAGTTCTGGGACATTGCAATCACAGCAACAAGCACAGACTCTCTCTTTCCTTGCCATTGATATTTATGCAAAACTTGTGCTGTCAATCCTGAAGGTTTCTTATTTCCTTTGTTTATTATATCAATATTTCTAAATCTAACCTTGTAAACGCTTAACATCTTTTTTGGGCAACTCTTTTAGTATTGTCCAATGGAACAGGGATCAAGTAAACTCTTTCTTATGTCCAAGGTGCCTATTTGTTATCTTCCATTTCTGTGTTCCAGTCTTGTTTTCCAAGAACATATAACAATATTTATAGTGGCTTTTCAGATTTTGACCGTGACTGTGAGGTTTATAATAAAAGATGCTGAGAATAAGAAGGCTTCTTTTAATCCGAGACCATATTTCAGATTGTTTATCAACTGGCTGTTAGATCTTGGCTCCTTGGACCCTGTCACTGATGGTGCAAATTTTCAGGTATGATTTATTTGCATATGCTGAGATCTTGGTCATCAAATAGCTAATTCTTGTTGAGCCTGTTGCAGATTTTGGCGGCCTTTGCCAATACATTTCATGCTCTCCAGCCCCTTAAAGTTCCTTCCTTCTAGTAAGATTTGTCAGCTAAGTTTTCTTGAGAATATTGCATCCAGTAAGATGAAGTTAGCAAAGCACGAACTTGTTGGGCATCAATATTCGGCTTGCACGTTTACAATCTTTGAAGATGTCATCATCAGCCCTTCTGTTAGTTCTTATGGCCGTTGCTTGCTGTGCTTTTATAGCTTTGCATGGTTAGAGCTTGTCAGTCACAGGACTTTCATGCCAAAATTGCTCTCTGGGAATTCTCAGAAGGGTTGGCCCTATATCCAACGTTTGCTAGTGGACTTGCTTCTGTTCCTGGAGCCATTTTTGAGTAATGCTGAGCTTGGAGTGCCGGTTTGCCTCTGCCTAAAGACTGATTTCATTATTTGTTTCCATACAATTTACTCTGGTCCCACATACTCTCTAATGCTATATCTATATAGGTTCACTTTCTGTATAAAGGCACACTCAGGGTGCTTCTGGTTCTGCTTCACGACTTTCCCGAGTTCCTGTGTGATTATCATTTTACCTTTTGTGATGTGATTCCTACGAGCTGCATACAAATGCGCAATATCATCCTTAGTGCTTTTCCACGCAGTATGAGGCTGCCCGATCCATCTACTCCCAACTTAAAGGTGTCAGTTTATCTTTGATCATTCATTTCGGGATTGTTTATTCTTGATAATTAATTCTTTCATAATTTGTTCTGCAGATTGATTTGCTTCCAGAAATCAGGGAATCCCCTCCCATTCTCTCTGAGGTTGATGCTGCTCTTAAAGCAAAACAGATGAAGGCTGACGTCGATGAGTACCTCAAGGTATTCAAATTCATTATTTACTTCAACCTACTTTTAATCTAACATTTTAAATATGATAATTTGGTTTTTTCCATGTTACTTTTTGCTAGAAATTTAATATTCTTTTCTAATCCATTAATGAAACTGTTTTAAATTATTTGCACAATTCTTTGCAGACAAAACCGCAAGGAGGATCTTCATTTCTAACTGAATTGAAACAAAGACTGCTCCTTTCACCAAGCGAGGCAGCATCTGCTGGTACCCGTTATAATGTACCATTAATGAACTCACTGGTGCTTGATGTTGGAATGCAGGTATTTTATAGTTTCTTTTACTCCTTTTCTTTTTTTGTTTTCTAATCATTGTATGTATATTTCTTTAGTAGCTTTTGATACTTTATTTTAGTTTATTTTTAGTTTCTTAATATAATCTTTTATTAACTGGATTAAGGTTTTCCTTATGGGGAATAAAAGAAATATGTTTCTACCGGAAATATATCATCTGGCATTTAATGAATCTTGTGGCAAACTGCAATTAGGCCATCCAACAACTGCAGTCAAGAGTACCTCATGCACAGGGAACAGAAAACACTGTTCCACTGTCTGTGTTCCATGTTAGTGCGGCTTTGGACATCTTCCAGACCCTAATAGGAGACCTTGCGTTATCTTTTTCTTAATGCAGTTGCTAACCAATTGCAATAACCAAACAGCCATACATATCACTTCTCTTTCATCCTGAAGCAAATCAGGTGAAAATTTCTGTTTGATGATATTACACTAAGATGTACTGTATCTGCTCACTTGAAGTTAGATGAGAATAAGAGTCTGATCTGTGCAGGAAATTATCCAAGAGCAAATTACAAGAGTTCTGTTGGAACGGCTAATTGTTAATAAACCACATAGTTGGGGTCTCCTCATTACCTTCATTGAACTCATAAAGGTAAAGTTATTTGAACATTTGAAAGAAAAAAGGTTATGATATGAATGTGCCTTTGAAATTGGAGCCTGTTTGTTTATTCATGCTTATGTTTGTGAGGTTTGTTGAAATTCAGAATCCAAGATACAACTTTTTGAATCGATCCTTCATAAGGTGTGCCCGAGGTTGAAAAATTGTTTGAATCCGTTGCAAGATCATGTGGGGGCCTCAAACCTGTGGATGAGAGTATGGTTTCTGGTTTGGTATCAGAAAATGCACACTAAGGCTCTGTTTTAATGTCACGTTATGTAAATCTCCATTCTGTATATCATGATTTGTTGTTAAAACAATCAAAAACATGTACCTTAATAACTAGTTTACATTATGCTTCTGTTGATTATTTATTTCTATGTAAACCCGTTGACCTACACACCTCATCGGCTCAGGCCATGTGCAATTCTTTATATATGCGACTTGGGTTGGGTTTCTCCTAAATGCAAATAAGCAAAAGCCGTTTTATTTTTAATAGGAAAAAAATTACAAAAACGAGAACCATTTCTAAATTTGAACCTAAATAAATTGGATGGATAATTCTGCAGAGACGATGAAACGGAAAGGAGACAGATCCAAATTCAATTTAGTTGAAAAAAAGTGTATTATTGAATGGTAAGCTGTAAATGTATATAAGCATTGCTGTTTCTGTTTACATCAATGAAAAAGTCGATGACTACTTGTCAATGAAAAGACACAAATCTAACCTCGCTGATGGTACAACACTCAGCTCTAAAATACACTAGTAAATTCATGCGACAACTCTGCTCAACCAGGCTTCATGCGTGTTAGTCCTCTGTTATCACCATGATGGAGATCATCTTAAGACCATTGGAACCCATGCTAATCATACAATCTTGTATTGTTTGTTTGTATGTAAACTATGTGATGGCATGAGGCAGAAGAATCAGTCCTTGGACCTCTTGAAGAATCTACTCCTTTGTTTCCCATTCCTGTCCCTGCCAGATTTGTTGATAGAAGTTATCTGGAATCCGGCCTCCATTTCATCTCTTTAAGCTCGCAAAACAAAGATGCCAGTTCAGGTGTGATTTCACTATCCTTAATGTTATTACATGACACTACCCTTAATTGCTGAAGCCCTTTCCATGAAAGCACTACCGACTCCAAACCTTTTGTCGTCAGCAATGAGCATCCTTCCAGAGAAACAAGCTTCACTATCCTACAGAGTCGGGGAAAAAAATAGAGATCGGATGTCAGAACCCAAGCAGGGATATGGAAAGGGGGCTATTGTCGCAGACTGAATACTCGTAGAAAAGTGTTTGAAAGAAACTAGATAATTGGAAAATGAGTCGTTATCATCAATAAGCATTCCTATCAACTAACTATTTGGATATTATAAAATTACATAGAAAACAGGGAGGATCATAATTGGGTTTTTAAACTACATTGCTTCGGCTCTTCATTTTTCTTAAAAGTACTTGTGTTCAACACATATCAGGTCATGGGTATGGGAATAATGGCCCTCTAAGGGTCGTTTGATAACTTGTAACTGGCATACCCGTGTCTGCCACTCACATCCATGTTTGAGTAACATAAGTTTTAAAGGCACACCATGAGCATATCATTAGATATTTCCACATATTAAACATCAAGAACAAGGCAATGCCCACTTCTTTAACTGGAGTCCACTTGTGAACAATCCAGAAATTTATTGCTTTATTAGTGGCTTAGTGCAGGAACTAATTGTGAAGCCGGAGACCTAAATTTTCTCTTCTTATTGCAGTCATCACTAATTTTTACCTGTCAACCTGGTTAATACTTACACAACTCTATAGTATATCAATTTCCTAACAACCTACATCCTGCGTAACAATGCATTTATGAAAGACAACAAAGCATTTCTAGGAATAAAAGTATGCAAATAATCTAACATATCAGCTAGTTTTCTTTTCCCCACTCTTCAACTGATACAAAATATGAAACCATAAACTGAATATAGATGCACAATCGAGTAAAATTAATAAAGATAATGCGTATCCGTGATAAAAAGCCTCGTACCTACAAATACTGGCAAGGCTAAACACATCATCGTCCAAACCCCAACAATTGTGAAAAACAATACCCCTAACATTCTCGCAAACCAAAAAACAAAACCTTGACACTTTGCTTATCCCGAATTTGACAGCGTTCCAACTGCAGGTCCTCGAGAGTCAAACAAGACCCCAAATGTTGGTCGGCCCCTGGACTCTCATCAATACTTGAGCTTCAAAGTCTTCAAATTCACACAGAACGAAAGGGAAGCTAACCACCCACCATCCATCATATGATTGTAAAAGCTCAGTTCTTCAAGCATTTGACAGCGTTGCCCTATAGCCTTAATGCCATCGTAGCTCCCTTCACATCCACAAAGCTCCAGCTTAACCAACCTTTTACACCCTTGAGCTAACAGAGTCAACCCAATATCTGAAATTACAGAATTGTAAAACCCATCAATAAAACCAATCAATTTCACCACTTGTAAGTTTTTAGTCCCTGAAATGCCCTTCAAAGCCAAATCACCACAACAATGTAGTTTCAGTTCCTGTAATGTAGAACACTCCGCCGCAACTCTTATCAATCCTTCTTCGCTTGCCCCAATCGCTACTAATCTCTGTAAATTCGGGTACTTTTCGGCTATCAATGTTAGCCCGTGGTCAACCTCATTTGACGGCAAGAATGCTGTTTTTCCTAGAAACCCATCGACGGTATAATTGGTATCGACATGAACCGACATCGTTTTTCGGGTCACTAATATGCCAGAGTTTCTCGGTATCTGAATACAGGAACGAGCGAGGTCTAAACCGGTGAGATTGGCGAACCGATTAAAACTCCGACGCGAAGAAACAAAGGACCAATCCGTAACTTTAAGGGATTGCACCACCTGGCCGTTAAGGTACAACTAACGCTTGCACACCAAGGAATTGGAAACATGTTGAGAGACGGGAAGCTTCGAGAATATTTTAAGGAGGAGTACGTCGGAGAGGAGGGAACTACGATCTGGTTCAATAGGGTCTAACGGAAGTGATTGAAAGGGTGTTAAATCAGGTTCCGACGGCGGCGAAGCAGACGGCGTGCGGCTGAGAGGATGGTTGAACTGCTGCTGCATCTTGTGAATAACATGCTTTAGACTTTGTTGTTTGAACCAAATGTGTTGTAAGCTTGGAGCCTCCGGCCTGGAATTGGATTTTAGCGATGGAGGTGGATTGAATTAGGGTTGGGATTTGTCTTGGGTGAATTTGGTGATTGTGACATTGTGTAAGGTTTTATCATTAAATATAACTTTTTTAAGGAAATGTAAACCAAGAGCATGAATTGGCGGCTTTTATTATGAAACGAAAGGAGGAGGAGAACATTGTGTTTGGAAATAAAAGAATAGTAATCATCGGTAATAATACTAAAATGAAACAGCATAGGTGAAACAATTGGAGAAATTATAGATTTCATAAGGGGAAGTTTTGTAGGACCAATCCAACAGTGTAAGACAAGGGATTTAATTGGTTTAGCAAGTGAATCTTCGCTGGCTGCAATTTTTACAGTGTCGTCACGTCTTATGAGGTTACGTTAAATCATATATTAAGCATCATATATTCTTTCTCCTGTTGCCTGTGGACCAGAATCCTCCACTTTCTCTTGTATTCATTTTGATTCTCATCTCCACAATAATAACGGCTATAGGGTCGCCTCTCACTTCAATTCCCATTACCACTCCAAACACAACCCAAATATATAATCTAAAACATTACAATTTTCAACCAAAATTGATTGCTCACTAAAATGAGTCGGTGTGTTCCTAGTTGGGATCTGGATGACAATCCACGCCACTCCTTTCGTTTCAACTCAAATTCCACTTCCCCCGATGTTCCCATGTAGCAAATCCCTCTCTTTTCGTCTATATAACGCCCGAGTTTACCATTTTTGGTTGATGTTGTTGCTGGCTTTGCAGGTTAGATTATCAAGTGACAGAGTTAACATGGGAGAATGGGCAACTAGCCATGCACAGCTTAGGTCCGCCACACCTTCTGCCCAAGCCACTAAACTCTACTACTTGTGATAAACCCCTAGCTGGTGGCACTTTGGAGTCCATAGTGAACCTGGCCACTTGCTTTCCGTATCGTGAGCCTTCTCTCGATGGTGGCGCAGAAGAACTCGTACCCTGGTTGGACCACCACCGGGGTGTGGCTTCATCCGCCACCATGACTATGGATGCTTTGGTCCCTTGCTCCAACAAGTCAGAGGACCGGACCACGCATGTGATGGAATCTATGCCGGGGCTTGGTGGAACATGCGTGGTGGGATGCTCCACTAGGGTGGGATGCTCCACTAGGGTGGGATCCTGCAATGGGACGGTTAATCCCCAAGACGACGAGGTAGTACTCCTCAAGGGGAAACGAACGAGGGCGGCGCGTGTTCCTGTAGGAGCCGAGTGGTGCAGCAAGGAGAAAAGTGCAAGCGCCAATGACAGATTCGGAAGAGATAGCCAATACATGATCGTTAACACATATGAGAAAGACATTCGTGTGGGTTTCACCTCGATTTCCAACACAAGCTCTGCGAGACACTATAATAATACCAAGGCCACAACAGCCGATGACCATGATTCTGTCTCTCACAGTAAAACCCAGGCAAAGTTCTTCACTTCAATTATTATTATTGCTTTGTGCATGTACTTTTAACCCCTTTTTTTCATTTACGAAATATTTAAAAAGAACCCTTCCTTTTGGTACTTTTTTTCTTTTGCCGTGTTAAAGGAGGAGGCAAGTGAGGAAGACAGGAAAGAAACTGGAAAATCTTCAGTTTCAACAAAAGGGAGTAGAGTTGCTGCTATCCATAACCAATCTGAACGTGTAAGCTCTCTTTTGAACGGAAAAAAAACATTGGTTAATTATTGTTGAGTTAATCATGATTGGATATCATCAATGGATAAAACTTGATAAAAATGGTAATAATTGTTTTCATCTATGAGACAATGAGGCGATAAGCACCTTCAATGATTGGATTCGATTTTTAGGCTAGTTGCCAAGGTGAGTGAAAAAAAGGAAGGAAAGTAGCTTGACTTTTCTGAATGAGTAATTATTATAGTACTTGTTTTCTTTGTGATCAATATTAACCTTTTATATTCTCTTTCTTGGACTTTCCCAGAAAAGAAGAGATAAGATAAATCAAAGGATTAAAACCTTACAGAAACTGGTACCGAATTCAAGCAAGGTATGAAAATTCTTCGTCTCTGCTTTTTATTTATTTATTTATTATTTATTATTACAGACAAGTTTATTAAATCTCTGCAAACACTGGGCATAGTCAAAAGAAGTAAGCTTGAGTACGGTAGAGATAAGATTTCCCCAGTAGAAAGGATATACAATAAAAGAGAAAAAGCTGAGCAATCAAATAAACTAGCATTGAGTTATTTCACTGTCACCCAATAATTTTGTGGGGGGCAACTTAGTGGTGTAATTTCTTTGACAGTTACATTTTTGTGGTCTAACTAGAACCAAACATTTAATTCTTGCTAAAAAAGATGGCATAAACAACCATTTGTATCGTCCAGGGAATGAGAATCTTTAAATCGGATATACTCTTTTAGGCATACTTTTTAGCAACTTTTTCACCATTAAGCTTACAACAACTATGTCTTACGAGTTATATACATTTTTTTATATTATACCAATCCAAAGACACAATCCCATGAATAAGAATATCCAACATTTACTCCACATGTTAGCTATCTGTTGCAATGATCCTAAGCCACATAACCAGTTTGCCATGGGGACAGCTTAACAGGAGCTAGGTTGATTGGTGTGGAGACAATCACCTGCTACCACATAAATGCAGTTTCATGGTAGGCCCTTGTTGGTCTTGGACATGTCTGAAATCTGTCATTGCGTTGATTTTCATCTTAATGGCATGGGGAAGTAGTTTTGGTGTACACGCCTTAGCGAGTGGGTCGTGCATTTAAGATTAATATACATATATTATTTCCATTACAGACCGACAAAGCTTCGATGCTAGACGAAGTGATTGAATACCTTAAGCAATTACAAGCACAAGTTCAAATGATGAATAGGATGAACTTGCCACCAATGATGTTGCCGATGGCAATGCAACGGCAACTCCAAATGTCAATGATGTCGCAGATGGGGATGGGGATGGGGATGGGGATGGGGATGGGCATGGGCATGGGCATGGGAGTCATGGATATGAACAACATGGGCCGACCAAACATCATCGGCATCTCTCCTGTTCTGCCTAATCCTTTCATGACCATGGCTTCTTATGTTGGCTCTAATGACCGCTTACAACCTGTCTCACCCGCTGTAGTGCCGGACCCTCTTTCGCAATTCCTCGCCTGCCAATCACAGGTAAAACATTTTGCTTCTACAGTAGCAGATTCATGTGCATTTTGCTTGTTATAATGATATATTGATTGTTAGTTGCAGCCGAATGGCCGCCATGTTTCAGCAGATGCAACAACCTCCGGCTTCTAGTACAAAGAGTTAAAGCTTGGTGCCTTACTGTTAGTTGCGTTTTTATACACAAAAAAACCTGAACGTGGGTCGTAATTCTTTCAGTAGCACAGGGTTCTCGTATGATCGAGTTCATAATGCTTATGTGGCTGCAAATTTTTCTCTTAGAATTTGTAATATCATTGGCCAACAGCTTCTGATCTTCCCCTTTCCTCGGACTTATAAAATATGACGGTTCAGGGTTTCAATAAGTAAGTTAAAAATAAAACCATGAGCTGAGTTTAGAGCAATAATTCTGAAACTGGAACCAATCAATATCTATCTTAATATTATATTTCAATACATCAGATCAACATCTGAATTATTGTTCATGGGAAGGATGAACATATAAACGATGATTGAATTCTCACTTGTCAACTTGTGTTTAGGATTTATCACACGTTTGTAGTAAGGGTTTCCACGCAGTTATCATTTGCCTCTCTCTCTCTCTCTCTCTCTCTCAATGACTGAGGCCTTTCTGGCCGAAATCATGGGAAATGCAAATTCTCAAGCCCATAAGTGGAAAAATATTTTTCTTTTCCACGTTTGATGTTTTGGTTTCGTTTTTCACGCTTTCTGTTGGTTTTGGAGAGTTTGATCCATCAGACAAGCTACTGCACCAAATCCACACAATAGTTATCCGATTCCCTGTCGCTGCTGGAATTATTAATCGCTTAATTTCAATTGGTTCAACTTCATTTCTTGGACCACACTATACAAACAACTCTGCTGATATTCCGTCAAGACAATCACTTTTTACCAGACCAAGGATAACTCATACGTGATATTCATCCCTTAAAAGATATTCCTCTTATTGTCTTATCATTGAACCCATCAACTGACCTCAACAATTAAAAGAAATATATTGTTTTCTTTAAACATTCTTATTATCGGAATTATGTTCGGACATCATCATACCTTTTCAAAATTTTCAAGAACTCTTATCAACGAGTCTCCATGTTTGATTAATAAAATATACTTTTCTAATAAAAATATATGTAATTGACAATGATTACATGAAAATTCATCATCCTCATGTACAAGTTATGAGCATTTGTATAATTGGTTGTTTGGTCGGAGCTGAATGTGACAAAACTTGATCCATTTTGAACGAGGAAAAGAAAGGACCGGAGCCCAATAGGCTCCACGTTTAGCAGTTGAAAAATATCCTGAATTGAAAGAGATAGGCAAGTGCAGGCACAATGTATTTAATGAAAAGATAGATATAAAGAATGTATGATTGGAGAAGGAAACGCTTGGACGAGGAGAACGCCACATGCTTTCGTCCTCACCCGCCCTTAAACAGATTTTTACGAAATGAAAGTGAAAGACTATTTGTTTGAGGATAAATGCTTGTTAAACCTTATCGTTACATTAAAAGTCAAAAACCACATATATTTTAGGAAAGTCGTTTGCTCTTAAAATAGTAAAGATTCTACCTCAGTCATTGTCATGAAATCCATTGAAAAGTGAGGGCATGATGCAAAGGAGAATCGTATGCTCTCTCTCTTTAGCTGCTATGATTCGATTTTTGAACAACACAAAAAAGATTAATCTTCCATAGCAACTTGAGGAAAACTCAAAGACCAAAATCGAAAGCAATTCAGCCAAGTTGGTGCATTTTGCTTGATTCAACAATCCGAGGAGGAGCGGTTCCAGTCCCAGAAATTGATGTGCATTTGTCTACTTTTTCATTCAGCAAATTGGGCGTATAAAGTTGAAGTGCTGGAACCAATTGAAAGCTTGTTATCTCACAGCAGATGCCATCGGACCATTTTTTTATAGCCCATATCCCACCAGACTAGGTCATTGTCAAAATGGCGGTGTTTTATTTTGCACGGCTCGTTTTCCTTGAAGGAATCTCATGATTGGAAGATCATATTCTAAATTGAAGAATATAGGGATCTAGTAGGCCTTTGATGCCCATTGGACTAAGGTTGATGAGACGATTCTTGTTGTGCAAAACGGCCATATATCATCTGGGCTCTCTCTTAGGCATCCGGGTAATTTGTAAACACTAGTATCCAATAACCAACTTTTCCACATCAAAGGAATGGGAACTGATTTGCAAATGCTCTGGCTTGGAAGTTGGGCCCACCTCAACTTGTTTGGTTCAATCATGGGATGCTTAACCCAATTGTTGGTTCCAATTTCAAATCACAACATTTCCTAGAGGTAATTCAATCTCGAGTTTGTTTCCCAACAATTAAGACAAGAAGGAATCACATGCATGGACACATTATTTTTGGTTATATATCATATAAAACATCATACGTTCACAAGTCTATAAAAACATATACAAAGTTAATATATTTTATAATTCTTTTGAAACTAATTAATTAATCTTCAAGTTCACAAGTCTTTTTTTTATAATTCTTTTTTTTATTAACAAATCATCAATAGACGATATTTAAATCTATTTTGATAAATATATCCTTGTAATAAAATCACATAGACCCAACACCACCACCACATGGTAAACTAAAATAGTTGAACATATATAATCCAAAATTTGGTCAGATTTTTTCCGGATCCCCTTGAAATATTTAATATCAACAATTTCATAATTGGTAGAAACAATGGAAGACTCAACTAGACCCACATTGGAAGACTGGATATGTATATATTAATGCAAAGGGGTTTTCTGTGATCATTTAGTTTCATTACTTTGTTAATCTAATCATAATCATTTTAAGCTTTGGCCACTTGCATAATTACAAAATATAGTTTCTTTATATATAAAATAACAATTGGTACTAATATCAGAAGTATCGATATATATAAATATAGGTATATTTAATCATAAGTGTTTTTTTTTTCAAATGCAATTTGATTGTGTGCAACATGCAAATATATGAAGTGGAGATTCGGTCTCAGGTGAGCAAGAACAAGTTGGTGGGTTTATGAGTGGAATAGATTTTTGTTTGTGTTATTAGAAATTAGAATCAATAAACCAATAAGAAATTGCACGTGGTACAGCTACTGAACGTGCAAGTGTGTAACCGGAAAGCACTTCACTTTTTGAATTTCACTAATCCCAAGGCCAGTATAAGTAGTTTGTATTTTTATTTTAGTTGAATTTTAAAATTTAAGTCCAAACTCTTAACCGGATCTATTTGAGCGAACTCATAGGTCATAACTAATCCAACTTTGACACATATGTCTTGTGGGTCCAAAGTCCAAAGCCTTAGGACCAGGGAAATGAAGATTTCTTTCATGCTCTTCAACCCACTGTCGGCTACCTCTATTTTCATTTCACAAACTTGGGTGATATGTCCAAAGCTTAGTTGGTTTTCTGTACTGTGGTTTTTACAAAAATCTTTAAGAAAATGATTCTCGTAATTATCTTTGCCCGCTTTCCACCAACCTTGCAAATCTCATTTCTTTATTCATTTTCACACCTAATTCATTTAACCTCCCATTTCTTTTCAAATACAAATACCCTCCATTTTCTCTCTGTGTAAATCCTTCAACAATGGCTGCATCTTCGATTGCAATCTCCCCAAGAAAGCTTCGATCCCATCTCTACTCTTTTTCCTATCATAGTGACGCAAACACTCCACTGGTGATATCAGTTCTCGCTTCTCTTATTGAGAGAACAATGGCCAGAAATGAAAGGATTGCCAACAACTGTAGAGGGGCAGTGAGAAGCAAAGTTTTCGATTGCCATGAAGCACCAGACATGACTATTCAATCCTACCTGGAGAGAATCTTCCGGTACACCAAAGCCGTACCATCAGTTTACGTTGTTGCATATGTATATATTGATCGATTTTGCCAGGCAAATCCTGGGTTTCGGATTACTCCTAAAAACGTACATAGGCTTCTCATTACAACTATTATGGTGGCTTCCAAGTATGTCGAAGACATGTAAGTAATGTTTCTCTCAACGTTAATGAAATTCGTAAGGGAGATTTATAACGGGGTTAGTGTTTGCTGTTGAGCAGGAATTACAGGAACTCGTACTTTGCACAGGTGGGAGGATTGACAACCAAAGAATTGAATACGTTGGAGGTTGAGTTGTTATTTATGATGGGATTCAAGTTGCATGTGAATGTGAGTGTGTTCCAGAGCTATTGCAGTCACTTGGAGAGGGAAGTGAGCATTGGAGGAGGATACTACATTGAGAGGACTATAAATTGTGCTGAAATTTTCAAAGTAGCACAAGGAATATACAATAAAAATGCTCGCATTATGTTGTAATTACTTCATCAGTTAATGAGGGCAAATTTCTCCGTCTCCGTCTCTGGATTTTGCTTTTGCATTAAGTCTTTTTTTTTTGCCTGTTTGTGCGTACGTATTTGGTGTATAACAAATGTCATGGTTTGTTTCAAATTAGGGCCAGTACAGAGGAGTAATATGTTGTAACTATGGTGTATGTTTATGGTTTCAACAGATGTAATACTAGTATTATAATGTATGAATTTCGTCAGTCAAACCACTTGTGTAAATGTCAAATGATGAAATTTCATTCTTTATTTCTTTTTTCCTGGTTTTGCTCCACCAGACCCTTAGAATATTAGTCATTATAATCATATTGTTGAGCTTTGTGTGGGCCTCCAGAGAAAGTTAATTTTTCAGGCTGTTTGTTTTGACATAATAAAATAGTTAAAAGGAATAATATAGAGTGATGATGAAAGTATTATCAATCATCAAAAGAATGGATATATTATGCAAATTGCAATGGGTTAAATGATAACGAGGGAAATTTTAGATCCAAATTATGGCACCGTGGCCATAACGTTGTAGCCTTAATAATTTCAGTATGGTTTATAATTGTTGGCCGGGGACATGTGTACACGATGCAGCAGTTGGGATAAATAGGCCCAAGCATAAAACATTTATTTCTTGGGCCACTCCCTCGTAATTGTACTATAGCTATAAATTCTGGGGTGAACAGCCCAAGATAAGACTGCTTTAAATTCACAAGGACTCTCGCTAGTGGGAACCTATCATGTATGAAATGGTAGGTGATCATATGCATATTTACAATAAATTATATCAGGAACACGGCCCCAATCATGCAAGTGCTGAAAATGCAGTTGATGATTAGACTGCTTACTTGAACTTGGCTGTAGGAATGCTTTGAATTAACGCAAGGCAACAGAATTATCAATGGTTAAAGAAACTAATTCCCTACTCATTGAACCAAACTTATGGCTTATCCTACTATGCTTCCCTCATTAGCAAGGATTTAAAAAAAATAGTAATTTACCATCACACCGGTGATTAGTTTGCCACTATTTATACATTCATCTATTGGCTACAAATGACTTGTTCCAAATGTAAACCAATTTATGTATAGATGATGTTTAACCATTTTGCCTAGATAAAGCAATACTATGGATTAAGTGATGCAGCTCAATATCAGCCTTTTCCTTTCTATTTTGGGAGAAAATATATACACTGTAGAAGAGGTCAAATCCGTGTTTAAAATAAAAATAACATGGTTAGCAAAAGAAAAGATAATAATAGGTAAATGTAATAAAGAGTGAGAGAGGTGTAAGAAATCTGTGGAAAAGCCGATAAAACCAAGCGACAGAGAAGGAGAAAGCAATGTATGGGTTTTCTTGGCTTGGAATTGAAGGGATATGAATACATCATTTAGGTATGGCAGTTAGAGCCACACTCTCTCTCTTTCACTCATCTCTCTTACATCAATTGCACACACTCTCCCCGGAAACACTGGTTGCACGCGACTCCCTTGGTTTGGCCGTCGGCGCCACCACAAAGCCGTAGAAAATGTCTCCTTCTCCTACCACTTGTCACCTCACTCCCCCATTCCTCAACTCTCCATTGCTCTCTTCTTTCCTTCCCCTAATCTATCTTTCGTCCACAAATAACCAAGCCATTACTCTTACTAAAAACGACTAGTCGCCCTTCTCGCCATTCAACTCTGCAACAACCTTTCACTATACAATTACATTTTACGACTCACCCTTCTTTTCCCATTCATTCAAAATTTTCACAGATTCTTTTTTTTTAATCCTTTTCCTTTTCGTTGCATGGCTTTCATCGTGGATCAACAGTCAAACTTTAAACACTTTTGTAAGATTTGCAAGAAAGGATTTGGCTGTGGGAGGGCGCTCGGTGGGCATATGAGAGCGCATGGAATAGGCGAAGACACCGATCACATTGACGACGATGATCCCGCTAGTGATTGGGAAGACAAACTAGGGGAAAACGTGCCACCTAGCAACAAGCGCATGTACGCCTTAAGAACCAACCCTAATCGGTTAAAGAATTGTAGGGTTTGTGAGAATTGTGGTAAGGAGTTTCTGACGTTAAAATCGTTTCTCGAGCACTGTAAATGTAGCTCTGAGGATCTAGTGTCGTCGCCAGGCTCGGATGGTGATGACGGAGTTACAAGGAGAAGACACGGTTGGTCTAAAAGGAAAAGATCGTTGAGAAGTAACGTGGGTAATCTCAACTCCATTTGTCCGTCAAGCGAAGAGGAAGATCTTGCTAATTGCCTTATGATGTTATCCAACGCCACCGTCGATCCTTTAGTGACCGAGCTAGAGGAGTCTTGCGCTTCCGCCAGCAAAGAAGAAGAAGAAAGACGAAACACGATGAATTTCATTGCACCTATTGCATGTGGGATACCAATGGAGAATGCCAAAGGCGTCGCCAAAGGGTTGTTTGAGTGCAAAGCATGCAAGAAAGTGTTTAACTCCCACCAAGCTTTGGGTGGACATAGAGCTAGTCACAAGAAGGTCAAGGGATGTTTTGCAGCCCGGCAAGATCATCTGGATGATAGTCAAGCCGATGAAGGCCACGATGCTATCACGCACGAAGAGTTCTTCCCAACAAAATCTAGGTCACCTTTGCAATTTGATCAAGGAACTAGTACTACTGCATTGAAAAGGAAATCAAAAGTACATGAATGTTCAATCTGTCACCGTGTTTTCTCATCCGGACAAGCATTGGGTGGGCATAAAAGATGTCATTGGATCACTTCGAATTCACCCGACACTTGTTCTTTGCCTAAGTTTCATCAGTTTGAAGATCACATCGAACAGATTCAACAAAGACCAAAGTTCATCGACAAATCCGAGCCGCTCGATCTTAAACTTGATCTCAATCTTCCTGCTCCATCCGATAATCATGTACATCGAAACCACATTAATCCATCGAATTTTGATGTTTCTACAGAAATGTATTTGCAGCCTTGGATAGGAAAAGAAAAGGAATATATTAATCAACACCATTTGCAAGCTGACAACGATAACAACAATGATAAGAACAATACTTGTCTGCAAAATGCAGATGACGAAGCAGACAGTAAGGCAAAGTTAGCTAAACTAAGTGAACTCAAGGACACCAATACAACCGGAGCTTCATCTCCTTGGCTGCGAGTTGGGATCGGTTCAACTACCGATAATGTTGGCTCTGATCCTTAAATTTTGTGATGCAATATTGCATTATGGGACCATTCTCACTATATTTACTTTGAAATTGATATTTTTGTAGACATTTTGTATTTATATATTAAAAAAGAAACTGTAATTACAAATTTAATCAAACATGTTTATTATTGTCGGCATGTTTTTGGTATTAGGTGAAGAGAAAATGAAATTCACATAAACGGCTTATTGATGCCACCATCTGCTTAGTCTCTCACTTCGTTCCAACTTTGTATTTGTTTTATAATACTTGCTTATATAAATTAATCAATCGGTGTAATTTACAAGTTGTAATATTAGAGGTGTTGGTAAATTAACAACACATAATCCATCGGGTCTTAGCCCAGTTGTTACCTACTAGGTCGCTACCCTTTTTATTTTCTTTATTCAAGCCTCCTCCTCTACGTTCAAGTTCAAGTTCAAGTGGAATCTTGCTACATCACCGGTTTGACTTTGGAAGTTTCCCACTGTATCAACTAGCAATTAGCAATTACTATTAATTAATTGGGTTTGGGTTGTTTCTTAAATGTTGCTAATGTTTGGGATTACTTTTCACAAGCGACTCATGAAAGCCAATATAGACAGGTAAAAATAATTACATCATGGAGATAATGAAACATGCTTAGCATAATTAATCAACTTCAAACCAAGTTTACTTTAATATATGACCGTAAATACATTGGAGCGACCCTTACGGGTGTAATTGGAGGAAGCAAGGGTTTGGGGTTGGTCTTTGGGCCCCACGGATTGAGTCTTAACCGACGACAAATGCGGGACGAGTGATACTTAATGGAACCTGTTTCTTATGAAACCCATGCATTGCCCACCCACAAAATAACGTCATTTTCATAATCTGAACTCTTTTAATTAATTATTCGTGTGATGTTACAAACCACCTTTTACTTTCTTATAATCAATCAGTACTGTTCCAATTCATTATTCCACGCGATCAAGTCTTTTGTCACTACCAAATTTACAAAACAAAGACTAGGAATGTACTTCTCTGCAAGGAGGAACCTTCCCAGAATTTCACCACCAACAATGCCTCCATTCAATATTTTAACTTATAATTGCTCTGAATGTTTTCAGTGGGTCTGGAATTCGACCCAATATTATACGCGTTGTGCAGCCAACGTTATTTAGCCGACACTTGCAGCGTACGTAGTGCAGCTGAAGAAGCACCATAAAAAGAATAATTTTGACTTAACTCGGGGCCAACAATGCAAATACCATTCACCTAACAGAGTCCTTACTTGTATTCTCGTTTTAGTGAAGAATACGCGCGATCCCTTTACCATTTGTCCCAACTCCGAACAACCATTGATGCTACCCATGTCTGTGAAAAGATTACTTCAACTCATAACCCTCTCATTTACACAACTCTCTTCTTCTTCTCAATTCTATAACTAGCACACGAGACATTATCAAATAAAAAATTCGTCTCTGAGAGGTTTTCAAATATACTAAAAAATTTATCATTTAATTTGGTGGAGTATTCATTCCTACTCGTGATAATAAAAATATCACCTTAGATAAAACCTATGAGTAATGATTCAAAATGATAAATTTAATTTTGTGAAATATTTATCAATTAAGTACCGGAGTATATCTCAAAATTTCGTTATAAACTCCTCTGATTGTATGTTCTTATTCGTCTTTAAAGGTGAAAACTCAACTTTTCTCCCCTTTCATGCTTCACAGTTCCATCCATTTGTTCCGAAAAATGGCAATTCCAAATCATTTCAATGTCCGTGATGATTAGCATATCCGAAATTGATCCGACTGACACCATGAGACAGGACATAAGCAGTTATGAGGAGGTGATGGAGGCAGTTGGTGGTGCCTATCCATGCACCTAGAGCCTGCTTCAGTGAAAAAAGCAGCGTCGTCTGTCCATCATTTTTCATCCTCTTTTGTTGCCCAAATGCACACATATGATGAAGATGTGTACGGGAATCAAGTCTAAAGAGTAAAGTGTTGGTTGCAAACCCATCCTTGCTACTCAACATGCTATATATGTTCATTGTGCTCTAGTTTCTATGCCTTTTGAATTGCTCTAACTATACTGAAAACCACACCCAAATGCTTTTGCTTTTACATCTATCATCTATGATCATGTAAGAAAGGCCACCATCTCCTTTCCTTTTCTAAAGTTTTTTATTTTTAAATGGGGTAATTGCACTACACATCTCCCACTATGATCCAGATTCTAAACTAATCCTGAAATTTCAAAATGTTCTAATTAAATCTTCTAATCATATCAATCCCGTCCTTCTATTGGCTTAACAGTCAGTTTAGACATTAAATGTCAATTAAAAACTAATATAAATGAAGATTATTTATTTAAACACGTCAATCTAAATTATCTGCGTATATACTTCACTCCATATTAAGCACAAGAAGTTTTTTAATTATTAATTTTTATTGCTGCCAATGTTAGGTATTCATAAATTTTCAACCGGCAGCAACTGTTGAATTCCAAGTCTTTTAAAGCTGAAAAATGTGGGACAAGCCACATTTGATGAGAGGTAAAACTAGGATAAATTTAAACTTCAAAACGCCATTAAATAGTACTGTAGTAGTTTTTGAGTTAGGCATAAGCGTTGGAATGGACTTTTGGTGGTGAACCCCCCACAACTAGAGCTTTACTAGGACAATGTCCACATGAAAGAGTAGGATTGGGTCTACCAAACCCTAGCAAAACGGCATTTACTCCCCATACAAAAATCCTTCCTCAATGGGAGGTTCTTAGTTTCCTCCCCCATTTCCCCACCCTTCATTTCAACCAATAGATCTAAATTTAAAGGGAACTTTACCCTAACCATTTTCACATTATACTGCTCTTTTACTATTTTTCATTTCATTCATACCCCTATTATTAATTATTATTATTTTCATCATATATGATGCCAAAAACCAGAAAGGGTAGGACCGGCCCACCTGGCATGCTAAAGCTATCTACACCAACAGTTGCCCCAAATCTCACCCGCTAAAGATAAACTACTCTTTTCATCACATAACTTTGGCCGTGTTCTTATTTTCATCACTCAATTTTAAAAAATTATAATTTCATTACTCAAATTTCAAATTGCTCCAATTCTAATCACTCAACTATTAAGTGTCTTAATGCTTTTTTAACTTTCTATGGTACATTTATGCAAAGTTTTCCTCAACTTAGATTTTAACAATTCATTTGATTTAAATAATATCAGAGAATTTAAACCCAAATTTGAACATCGGAAATCTTAAGAAGAAGAATAAAAATAATATATTTTCATTTCACACCGATTAAATTGTGGAGATTATAGATTGAAGTAAGATAGATCTAAGTGTTAATTTGAATTTTATCAATTTCGAGAGAAATCAAGTTGGTAATAAGAAAAGGATGAGGAATGGAAACATTTTGATATCGGTTGCATTGTAGAATGATGGTCGACAACAATCGATCGATGTTGGAAGATGATTCTTGCCACAATGGTAGAAAGATTAAAATTTTAGATAATTTTTAGAGTAAAAGTCTCAAAATGGAACGTTTTAGTGTTGTCGTTAGACACTTGACAATAGAATGACAAAAACAGAAATAATTCAATAATTAATGATAATAGAAACTTTTTAAAATCGAATGACTGAAACATGAATACATACGAAGTTAAATGATGAAAAGGCGTGATTTACCCTTTAATTAATTGATTACACTAGAAAAAATATACGAATTCAACATCATTTATTTTTATTAAAATGGAATTCATTATTATAATAACAAGAAATAGTTTTGTAAAGGTATCATTTGTTTGTCATTTTGTTGTATGTCACAGCAAAGGGAAGAGTTGGACACCGTGTGATTTGGTTTTTCTTATTCTGCTTCGTCGTTGCAACAAACCCCAGCAGTTTTCTTGACTTTGTACGAAGCAAAGCCACGGGCCACCGGCTTATTCTGGTAAACCCTCCCCCGTTAATTCCTAAAATACCCTTTAGGCTATAAAACTAAGGAAGAATATGGCTGTCCCGTAGGGGTGTTCAAATAACCGAACTAATTCGATTAATAGATCAAACCGAATTAGTTCGATTAATTCGGTTCGGTTATCGAATTAGTTCGGTCGGTTAACGGTTAAGAAAATTTTTAGAATTTGGTTAACGGTTCGAATTCGGTTAATTAACCGAATTAACCGAAATAACCGAAATTAAATTTTAAATATTAAATATATTATATATAACATATGGGCTCAACCTAAATCATTTAAAACCCAATTAATAATTTAAGATCCAATAACTTTTAAACTTAAATCAATATTAATTAATTAAAAAAATATATAAATTTTTTATTTTATAATTATATATTATTTAAATTATTTGTAAACTGTTTTTTAATTAAAAAATATTAAATATATTATATATAACATATGGTCTAAGCCCAAACCATTTAAAGCTCAATTAATAATTTAAGATCCAATAACTTTTAAACTTAAATCAATATTAATTAATTAAAAAATTTATCTAAAATTTTTATTTTATAATTATATATTATTTAAATTAATTATAAACTTTTTTTGAATTAAAAAATATTTAATTTTTATATAAATTAGAAAATTTTAAAAAAAATTCGGTTAATTCGAAATTAACCGAAATTTATTCGGTTCGGTTAATATATTCGAAAAAAAATTCGGTTCGGTTAACGGTTAAAGAAAAAAAAAGTTTAATTAATTCGGTTATAATTAATTCGGTTCGGTCGACCACCATTTTAACCGAATGAACACCCCTACTGTCCCGAGTGCGAGTATTCTATATTCTGTTGGTAAGAAAGGGCGGTTTAGGAAATATGAAAAATTAAGGAATTGGAAGGGAATAAATACATACAGAGAAAACGGGCAAAGTCTCGCATGTTACATGTCGCTCTCTCCCTTCATGCATACGCTTTTAAAAAACTTTTTATTTATTGGTATTTTCCGTTTTAAAACAAAAATAAATTAACCTTTTAAATAATTAAAAAAAAACCAATCTTGCGAGAAAACTTTAGATGTTTCGTTGTATATATCTCCTGGCGGAGGATTGCTTGTCAGTTGTCACCTACTCCTTTTTTTAGTTTTTGCACTCTCTTTCCATGCTTCTTTAAAACTCTCTCTCCCTCAAGCGAAACACAGAGTCCAGAATTCATAGAATTTTCAGAAATAAACATAAAACATTGAGCTCTGTTTCTGATTTTGTAATGGAGAAACATAGGTGTAAGTTATGCTTGAAAAGCTTTGTAAATGGAAGAGCTTTGGGTGGCCACATGAGGTCTCATATGTTGAATATTCCAATTCCTTCTAAAGTCAAAGAACCAACGATTCAACCGAGTCAAGAGTCCCAGGCAGCTTCAGCTTCGTCTTCATCGGACGAAGATGAAGGGCAGATAATGGGTCAGTGTTATGAGCTTAGAGAGAATCCAAAGAGAAGTGCTCGCATGGTAGATCCTGAGTTTGTGGATGCTGGGTCGGTTGTTCTCCAAGACAGGGAAAGTGAGACCGAGTCGTCTAAGAACCCAACTCGGAGACGATCTAAACGGACTCGGAAAATACTAGACCAAGAGGAAGAGGAAACAAAGAAGCTTAAAGTTACTATCAACCAACCGAGTAAGACCGAGTCTTGGCCTGAACCTGAACCGGTGAGTTCGATCTCTGATACTACAACCGAAGAAGATGTCGCTTTCTGTCTTATGATGCTTTCAAGGGACAAATGGAAAAGCAAAGTACATAAAGATGATGATGACGAAGACGACGATGAAGAAGAAGAAACGGATGAATCAGAAGGGTACTTTAAATTAAGCCAGGTTAATAACAGAACAGCTTGGGCTAAGTACAGATGTGAAACGTGCAACAAGGTTTTTAAATCGTACCAAGCACTGGGTGGACACAGAGCGAGTCACAAAAAGATCAAAGCCTACTCGCAGGAAACAGAGTTGAAACCAGAAAATGTGGCTAATTGTTCAATGACAGAAAAGAAAATCCATGAATGCCCTGTTTGTTTTAGAGTCTTCTCGTCTGGACAGGCACTGGGTGGACATAAAAGATCTCATGTAACTGGTCAAGCAGTAGCAACAACCAAAACAAGTATTAAAAGTTGCAAAAAGTTGGGAGATGGTTTGATAGATCTTAACCTTCCTGCTCCAATTGATGACGATGATGCTAGCCAGATTGAACTGTCCGCCGTGTCTGATGCTGAATTTGTCAGCCAGGTCTAGTAATGCAAAGAAAAAAAAATCTTCATCGCCTTTGGTTTGCACAAGTGTTTGATCACAAGGTAAACAAATTTTGGTTGCTCGTTACCAATCTTTGGGATCTAAGACTTTTTGCCACTTTGTTCGACTCTGTTTCTAACCGTAATTCTTTTCTCTGCATTCGTCTTTTCAACTTCTGCTTGTAGCAACTGATCATTTAGAACCTATATCAAATATAAAACATGCTTTTGTTTATTTCACTGTTGGATTAGATTTTCTGGCTTCTTTGATTTTAACACTCATTGTTGTTAATGGTTTCTCTTCAATTCAATCCAAGTCTCTTACTTTTTCTAGTAAAATTGTTTTACTTCGAAACCAGTAGTCTTTTTTTCCTTCTAAAAAAAAAAACACTGTTCTTTCTTTGTTCATTTTAAAACTAAAGGTAGCTTCCATTTGTCGTCACTGCCATTATTACAAGTTCATCACGAATTCTCTGCATTCTGTCTAGTTTTCAAACCATTATTAAAATATATATTTCCTTTCAAAGCATTTTGGTGCCTGCTTCTTTCTGTGTTTCTGTCTGAAATTGTTTCATGCTTTACCTACTAATCAGCTAAACCAGTAGACTAGGACAGACATAATATTTATTTACTTTTACGTAATCGTTAGTATTATTTACAATAAACACATTTCAATACGTAAGAAAAAGGTGATATTAAAAAATTATCAAATGAAAATATTTTTGAAGTGTATGAGACCAAAACAAATATTAAATTAAATAGTTTACACATTAACTAATTACTAATGAGTATATTTGTTATAAAAAACTGTAAAAAAGGGGGGGGAATATGGTAATTAAAGCTAACAAGAGATACTGCTTAAGCTTATTTGACAAGTGAGAAACAGAATCGAATTAAAGAAAATATATAATATCGTCATATCCTGCTATTTATGTAACCCCACATATCGATAAGGGTAATCAGATCCGGTCCGGGGTGTCACATTTGGGCCACCGGAGCGACTCACTGTAAAAATAACGAAAAATTTAAAACTTTTTAACAGCACATGTAAAATAATAAAATCAATTGTCACCATTTAAAAATAAAACAGATTTTCAGACTCGTATATAAATCAAAATACAATTACATGCCCCCTAATCACATGCACCATTCTCTGGAAACAACGTAGGAAGAATTCCTTTACAAATGTCGATAACTGCACTGGTACAATTCTTTTAACCTGCAATGGTGAGTAATAGAGTGAGCTTTGGAAAGCTCAGTAATACAGAACTACCAGATGATGCTGATGAACATGCAGATACCGATAAATATATATTTCCTTATTGTTTCCGAACATTTATAGATTTTTATGCTGAGCAGAGATCCTACTGATATTTCAGGTGGTAACGGAAAATGAGATTTCGTTTCAGAGAAATATTTCGGGTGACTGAGTTCAGGAGATCAGAATAGGTTTTCTAGTGTGTTCCCAAAAACCATGTAACTTTTCAGATCTTTTTAAAACATATATATATATACCCCCATCCGTCACGAACAAAATGTGTAGGTTCCCCAAAACCATACAACCCCGTCACGTCCAGTAAGGCCCTGAGCACACAGCCGAGGAACCGGTAAGTAAGGCCCTAAGCACACAGCCGATGAACCTCCAGGTATTCTTCCTCCAACATTAACCCCCCAAATAAAATATGTTCCGTCCGTAAACGAATATATCAAAAATCAAATCATAATTCACGTCAAGTATCATATCAAAATCCAGGTCAAGTAACATATCATAATCCAAGTCAAGTATCAGATCAGAATCCATGTCAGATATCATATCAGAATCCATGTCAAGTATCAGATCAGAAATCAAATCGAAAATCAGGTAAAATATTCATGTGAGTAGGGAATACACCAGAATTTACAGATAATATTCAAAGATATTGTATAATCTTAACAAGTAGGGGAACACAGATCTTTAGTATACCGATAGAATATCGTAATTCAGAATCACTATTGAAAGAGTTTAATAACTGACAGAATCATCAGTTATTCAGAATGTGACTTGAGCTGATAAGGAAGAAATGAAGGTTCAGGACATTTATATTATTTATCGATTGATCGGATTATCGGACAACTCTTAGATGAATAGTTCCCAGAACTAATGCTTGTCGATTGGTCAATTCATTGTTCTTCCAGGGTATTTACTCTTTAATACCACAAATTCTTGTCCGTAGACCATTTTCGGAATCATCGCTGAATAAATCTTCCAATGTCTTTATTTCATTTCCACGCTTCCACAATATCATGAAATGCTGACGTACTTGATTAATTTGTTCATAACCCATTGTAATTGTACACTACGTAAACTCATCAGAGTTTCCAGACTTATCCAAATCACTTATTAAATCCTCAGTCATTGAGGTTACCTAGTTCATTTAGCAATCATGTCCATTCCAGTTACTTCAGGATTTTTCAGAGTAATTCAAACGTTCCTGAATTTCAGATACATGTTGTACTTTCATTCCATTCAATTTGGTCTTCGTGGTTGATTTGTCGAACAAACGTCCAATTCTTAGTACTGAATACGATCTAGAGTTGAGCTGCGCTGAATACTTCCAAAATTTATCATTGAGCCAAACTTGAGAAGACGAACACATGTTCCAGTAATATCTATGCCATTCAGGTATTGATATAGCTTTAGGGTTGATCTACTCACTTAAATTATTTTCCATTACCTTTAAAGGTAGTCCAATACCTATGCTTACTTGGATTCCTTAATTAATCCAAGATATTTACTTAATTTAGGCCATAAGGGTATTTTGGTAATTTTGATATTCGGCTTTATTCCATTTATTTCAGAGCTCGAGGATATTCAATCATTCCTGAGCTTGGTGATATTCTTGAGTCATATACATTACAGGGGTATTTTGGTCATTTTACAGATTCAGCGTATTTCAATCCTTTTCTTCCGTCCGATCTTACTATTAAATTCAATCTTATCATTTATTTCAGTCCTTTCGAACAATTCTGACAATAGAGCACCCCGATAAATTATTCTTCAGGTATTTACTCATAACTCGGATATTTCTAGGTCAAGTGTCTTCTCAGATTTTACAAACGGAATATCAGGAATTTTCCTGAACTAAGTCAGGATCTTAACAATCAAATTCGTACTTAATCGAGTTAAGTTCGAATCCTCAAAGTATTTTCTCATTCAGGGTTAACTCAGACTATTTTACCTCTCAAGGCATTTCCATAATTTCTTAACCATATAATTTCAATATTAGCTCTTAACGAACATAATATAATTTAGAGATCCTATGATCAATTGTTTTCTTTAACACTCTTTGATCTTGACGGTTCTCTTAACAGACTTCTAGTATCCTTCACAAACTAACACTCTCTGATCTTGAAACTGTTCTCTTAACAGACTTCTAGTATCATTCACAAACTCTCCTAGGATTAAAACCGGTTATCCATAATTTCCAAATAAAACTATCATTTCTTATGCACATCAATATTTTTATCAGATCAATATATCTGTAAAATCCTCTTATCTAACTTCTATATTCAAATCTTGTCTTTTTATAACATAAGGGTATTTTTGTAATTTTACCCTACCGGAGTATTCTCATAATTTCTCATCCAAGTACCTTTAACATTTAACCTTTGATGAAATAAATTATAAGTTGCAGATACAGGGATGATTTCTTTATCACTAATCACAAACTTGTAATTTAATCTAGCAATTCCTCAATCTCTTATATTAGTCATTCGATCCATAATTAGTTACAAAATTTCTACCACATCATATTAAGTGTATAAATTATTCAACTCCACCAAAGTGACCAACATTATCTTGTTCATGCATTTATCAATATAAACATGTTCCATAAAGCATAAAGAGGTAGTAAAGTATTACCTAGATTTTCGTACAATACTGATCGACCATAAAAATTCCATTCGAACGCCTTTGATCTTCAATTCAACTTCCAATGATTCCTCAGATACATATCAACATAAATTATATAAAAAACGGAGCTTAATTACGATAAACGGATTGAATCGGGTGATAAATCAATGAAAATAGCTTACCGGGTTCGAATTTGGCGAAACAGACTTCGGATTCAGGAAGTCGGAAGCATAAAATATGACTTTTCGGAAATTTGGAATTTTCGGTCAAAATCAAAGTCAACGGTTTGACCGACAATTTCGAGGTCTTCGGGTTCGAATTTCAAAAAACGGAAAGCGGAATCGGATTTGGAACGTCGAAAAATGTCATGATAGGTATACTCGGTCAAAGTCAAAGGTCGTTTAATGCCCGGTCAAAGCCAGTTAAAGTTTTGGTCAACAATGGTCAACGTCGGTCAACGATCTACGGTCTACGGTCAACGGGTCGGGTCAATGGGTCGGGTTGTAACCGGTCAAACCGGTTATTTGGACCATCCCAACGCGCAGTGAAGGCGCGTGGGAGCACGTGGGACCCACTCCGGTGTTCTATAAATCACGTAAAAATTTCTAAAAATTATTTTAAGCGATTTTGAGATACTTACAAAGCTCGGTTCGAATTTTTGAACGACGGAGAGCTCGATTTCAACGAATCGGAAACTTTGACCTCTTCACCTCCTCACGCGCCGCCTTCGACGGAGACCAAGGATGACACCGGCAGACTCGGAACGGAACAAGGAACACGATGGTGCGGGAGGTGTCGTGAAAGGATGACCGGATCGTCGTGAATCGATGAAAAACCAACTAAAACTGAGTTATTACCGATGATTCTTCCGACTAAAATTAACGACGAACGGCGACGATTCACGACGAAAGGTTTGAGAAGTTTTGTTCCTTGGTTGACAACGAACACGATGGTGGTTTCGACTCGTCGATCGGAGGTCAGACGGCTAGTAGATCGGAGTTGGAAGGAGGGTTATTAGAGAAGAGAAATCTGGAAAATATGAAACCTGCGCACGGGGAAGAACTTATAATTCATCATATATAAGAAATGGTTAAATAATGGGTTTAGCCACTGAATTTTCTATACTTTATAAAATGGTATGCCAACTTTAAAATTTTACAATTTAATCCCCAATTTCTTCTAAAAATATCAATTAAATTCACCACTTTATAATTTCTTAAATTTTAACCCCTAAATTGGGGTGTTACAATTTAATTATAACATTTATTCCATCAACCTAAAGTCAAAATACATTCATATTATCAAATAAACGTCATACAGTAAAAAAAGTAATTAACACTTGACATATGAAGGGATGAAAAATAATATGTTATTTAAATGAGGTTTTGGGTTCGAATTTTGTAAAAAAATAATATTAAAAGAATTTATTTAAAGAAAAAAATGAGATTGGATCATATTTGGTTTTAAATATAAATAAAATTTTTATTACTACATATTAAAGAATCTTAAAAATAAACGGTGTCCATAAGATTTGTTTAAATTACATGCAAAATCAAATAAAGTAAAAAGGAATATGTTTGTTTTTTATTTTATATTATTTTCATATGGCTTGGAATATTCACAAGCATTGTTTTATTTCTACCATTGTGTTCATCTTTTCCTTGTTTAGCTTTCTCTTTTCATCATAAATAGACATTTAGAGATCAAATTAGTTGATACAAGGCAAGTGGGTTTAATTAATTTTTGAACGTCCATTAAAAAGCTACCTTAATGACTTTGCCTCGGGAAACTTAAAAAGGTGGATTTTGCACCTTTTTCCATCAGAATTTCACAACCATCCATCCTTAAAACTTGGTTCTCAACAATGTATTAATATTTATTCTTTAACTATATTTTATGATAATGCCGACATAATCCAGCAGCAGGCACATCACAATGTTGTATGAATAGCATTGCCATTACAGCTTGAATTGGTTGGCTGATTGCCCTTTGTAGTTGAAAGATTTTGCCTGGCCATATCAATAGGTGGGTCATATGCCGGCTTATGAGCCTCATTCACTAAAAGAAACGAGGTCAACAATTCCACGCTACACTTGTTTTCCTCTTCAAAGGTGTACCAAACTCTACTTAATCATCATTGAAAACCCACTTTGTCGCCTTTTCGCTTCTTATTAGTCTAAAAACAGTAGCAGCGCGGTGATTTACACACACCGCTATCATTAATTTCTGATGCTTAAGTGCTTAGTAATTTGCACAATGCTTGAAATCGCACTTTGATTTCATTCGGGATGAAAAGATAAAAGCTAAAGCCTTAGCAATGGACATGGCGTGATTGCCGCTAGCTGCGTGTTCTACTCTAGTGTCACCTTTTGGTGTTGTGAGTCTACATCTCTTGACTCTTGTGGCGTTGCTCATTTAGGTATTTGCTTTTATTCAAAGACAACAAGTGCATGAACTTGGAAATTGTAAGTTAAAGCATGGTCTCTCCTGATGATGCGAGCTACTGCATTTCTACTACAGGTAAATATGAGGCTTGTATTCCTTATTAGGTCACATGAGGCATTAATAATTTGTCACACAATTTGGTTGATAAATCTAGGAGAGTTATCATGTTGTCTTAATTGTTTTTGGCCACCAGCATCGCACGATGAAACAGGCACAAAAGGCGGTCAGATTCACTAACATTTGCCATTGTCTTAACAAGGGCTTAATGTCTTGGTTTTGGAACTAACATTTTGTATGAGCAACTTAACTGCCAAACCTAACGAAAACAACATTTCGACAACCCCAAACCCACCTGCCAAACTAACATGCTTTGTTTTTTTTTCATTGGGATTGTTGTGGAAAAGCACCACTTTTGTGTTTTCTTCATTCGGCTTTTGTTTTCATTTGCAATGCTTGGCTTGTGATGTAACCCGACAATAGCATCTCACTCAACTGTGATCTTATATTCCAATCCTGTATTTTTATGTTTCCCTTTACCTCTCTTTTTGAGTTATCTTTAATATTTGTAAGCTATATATGTTAGGGTTACCTAGTATATTTTAATGGTTACAAAGAGAAGAAATCTTCCTTTTTGGACAACTATATTTGGTTCACGCTACAAAACACCATCATTTCATGCCCCTTCCCATAAGTCATATACACTCAAAGGCAGTGCTTGTATGTCTCCCATGTGATCATCTATCCATCCAACGGTACACGGCCAAAAGCCATTTGAGAAGATGCTTAATTTGAGCAAAATTTTATCATCTTTTTTTCTTCTCTTCCATATTCCCGTATGATATCCACCAAAGGAACGTGTTGGGTCGTGCAGCAGGAGAAATGGGAAACCTGTGAGCGGTACATAGATAACTTATGTTGCTGTCTAAGCTAAGAGTCTCTTGGCCTTGGGATCTGCTTTATTGATTGCCGGTTTCAAGCTTCACTGTTGTTAATTTAGCTTATGTTGTTACTACGTCAGGCATTTGATCATTGTAAAACTCTGCTCGTTTCCCGGGACTATTACCAAAGAAAACTGACAATTCCCACCCAAGGGTAAAGCATGTATTTTCAATGAACCAAAGAAAGAGGGAAAACACTTTTGTGGACCACAAATGAAAATCATAGATTCTTTGAGGTCAACTGCTCAAAATTAAAGAGCGGTTATGGAGATGAAGGTGGTAAAAAAGCGTCACGTACCTTTTCCTGCACGTTAGGTTAAATTACACAGCAAACTCTCGATTCATCCGTTTTAATCCTAAAACGCTTGCTTTTATTTTTTCTTCATGTCTATTAATACGTGGGCTGCAGATAAACCATACCCTCGAAATTGATTGGAATTTTGACTTTCCTTTGGAGATTATACAAGGAAGAAACTCCTTTGACGGCTGAGGGTGATCTTGTCTTGTTCAGGCAATGCTTAGTATTTTCTTCTAATTAAGCTGTGATTAAAACCGCGTAACGAGTCTGAAAATTCCAAGTTATAGAATTTTTAAGTTGTTTTGCTTGTGCTAATAGGAAGTGTATTGGAACTGTTAACATATACGGTAAAAGTAGTTTGTAGGTGAAGGGATCAAACCTGTTTTGCATTCTCAGACAACTGGTGCTGTAAACCAAAAATCCAACTACTTTTTTCAACTGCTTTAAAAAGGGTCGAAAAGGTCACAACATTTACTTGTCATAATTTTCTTATTATAATTTCATGGGGGAAATAGATAGTTTCGGTGGTACGCTCAAGTCCTGCCTGCTCATTACGCAATGGATTTTGAGAAGTTAGGCTTTGGTGACCAATTTGTTTTGCCGTTTGCCGATCCAATTCAACCAAATGCCTTGGTTTAGGTACTTTTCCTTGGATCTATCAACGGTGTTAATAAATACAACTGTATTGCAACAACTAAGATTCAATAAGCACATTTTTAATAGTTTTTATTTACAGTATATATATAATAAAACTTTATAATTCTAATTCTAACATGACCATTTTATCCTTTTAGAGAGAAATAATGTCTATTTTTTAGCTACCCACTCCAATGCTTAGTAGGTATATGGTGGCCAAAGCCCAACAGCTATTGATTGGCACTCTATCGTAACCCATAGATTAGCAAAATCCGTAGAATTTTATCCGAAGAAAATGAGAACCCAGACATAATAGGTTTGGATTGCAGAACTGGAAGCTCAGTGTGCGACTCTCCATCTCTAATGTGTTCACTGCAAGTACAATCACATCCACTTTTCAACCTATCTGAAATATTCTCAAAATGTACATCTTCACTGCCATGTTTCTCAACTCCAACCCCTGTTTTTTACAAGCTAAAAGCCAGGGCCTTGTCGTCGTCTCTCCAAGAGTTTCCCCCCAACGCCCTTCGTCGTAAGGCCAATCCCCAATGGAGAGGAGGGTTCAGTCTAGGCGTGGATTTGGGTTTGTCCCGCACAGGCCTTGCCCTTAGCAAAGGTTTCTCTGTTCGTCCCCTCACGGTATTATAATATCTTATATCATCCTTTTCAAACTTGTTTAAATTTGGTTTCTTTTCCTGCTTCTTCAACGTTTTCATACCTTTCTAGGTTTTCAAATTGAGAGGACAAAAACTTGAGCTACAGTTGCTTGACATGGCTGAAAGAGAGGTTAAAAATTACTTGCCCTTTTAATTGAAAGCTTTCCATGAAATTGCTGCTTTAACGGAAGAGGAATATTGCAGGAGGCTGATGAATTTATAATCGGGCTTCCTAAATCTTGGGATGGAAAAGAGACTCCCCAGTCCAACAAAGTTCGTAGTATTGCCGGAAGGCTAGCCGTTCGAGCTGCGGCGAAGTAAAGTCTTATGTTTCCTCTTACATCCTTATTGTTTGTGTATTTGCTTCGTTTTGTTTGCCTAAGTTTTTGTCACTAACCATTTTAGTGGATCACAATTTGCCTCAAAATCACTTCTTTTCTGCGCTTTTATGTCATCTTCACTCTAATTCAGGGGTTGGAGAGTTTATCTACAGGATGAACATGGGACATCATCAGAAGCTGGATACAGGATGATTAACTTGTACTAAGAAGTTTACCCAAATTTTATATTCCTCTATATTGCACTGGACTGGAACATGATTCTTTCACTTGTCCTTCAGGGGTCTCGACAACTCTGCTCGCCAAAAAAGCTCTGATGCTTATGCTGCTGTGGTATGTATTATGTAATGAGCCTACTTATCAGTTATCACATTTTTAGATTCCGATGATTGAAGAAGATGCTGCATTTCTTCCTTTTCCTTTATGCTTTATAATACTGTATTTCTTCAATGTTGGTGGTTGCAAACTTTTTTTTCATTATGTGAAGTAGACCATGGATTTCATTTTTAAGGTCATTTGTTTTCTTCTTACCCCTCTTTGTTTTGCTCCCTCTAGATATTACTAGAGAGATATTTTGCCATGTCGGGCAAGGATGTCGAAATTGTTTTGCCGAAACGGATAGATTTGCAAGAAAAACTTAGAAGAGGGGCTCCATGGGACATTGATTTTTCACCAGAATAATTTGTTGAGTGACACCTTGACGGGTACCGAAAGAAACCCTTATTTTCTGCTGTAGACAAAAAGAATTGGAACTATATTCGCATTGTATTGATTCTAGTGTTTTATGTAGAGTTGAGAAAATATGAATTTAAAAGTGCATATGGGGTGCTTTACAATTGCGGTTGGGATCAACGTTTTATTTAATGAAAAATATAATACCATTTAACTCAAAAGTGTTAAACTACATAAAGAATCTGAGAAAGAACTTGCCCAAACAATTTGAGAATTCATATAACTATCCAATTTGCTGAGCTCGTGAGCTAAATCATTGCGACTCATGGTTAAAGAGAATGTTACCGCATTGTAAAGAAATATCTGGCCATCACTATAAGCTAGCTCTTTGTTGGCAAGTTTCAAATCTAATTCTATTATGGTACTCCTGAATTCCATCACTATAAGCTAGCTCTGCATCTATCTTAATGGCCATCACTTTCGCATGGAAAGGAGAGAAAGCAGGAGTTGCTTTAGAAGTTGCAAATGCATATCATTCCCCATAACAATATGTTAAAAGATGCATGAATATTTGTTATGTCAAAAATCATTAAAACCAATAATAACGAGCAATCAAGCTTCTTATTAGGTTAAGAGCCGATCACCGGCTAACGAGGTAAACTGATAATACGTAGTCAGGCAGCTTCAGGACCAGGTACAAATACTTTAGAATATGGGGGCCTCTCTCTCCTTCATCGCAGCCCTTTACTCTAGTATTTTTCGTTCCCTTGTTTGTTATATTGATTTAAACATCAGACAGAGTTTCAGGACATAAGTTACCATCCTTCCTAGCTCACGCAAGAGCCCAGAACCATTTACGTTCTATCCAATCAGCGCCAACAAGAACATGACAATTGGCACCGCCATTTATATTTAGTGAATCCCTGTTTGTGTACATTTTAAAAGTTAAAACTAATGAATCAGAAAGCAATACCATTGGTTAAATGTTCCTCTCTATGTCTACAATACCCGAACCAGCGACTCTTGTATATCATATTAGTTAGTAACCGCCACTTCATCACGCCAAGCATATGCTCTTCCACATTCTGGTGATCAAGTTATAGGCAGAAAACTGAAAACCACAGGTCATGGGGCTTAAAGTGTGTCATTGTTTTATTAGTCGATAGGGTCCGACATAAGAAATCTAAATAAGTGCGATGATCTGAACTATGTAGTGGGTAGCGGTAACATATGATGAAGTTGGTTAGGAAAATAGATTAATGAGTTAAAGATGGGTACAACTGTGTTTTATTTTAATACGTCAAAGTGAGTTTTATCTGATCAAAGATCATATCTGCATATATGAGAGAATTTAACATTTAGGTGACAAAAATGAAAAAAAAATCTAAAAGTTGGATGACTAACTGAGTAATTCATCATTAATGTCATTAGGAGTTCAATGATTACAATGAACAATTTCTCTGGTAGTAGTGAATAAATTAAAATGATTTTTGTGTGACCTAAATGAAAGTTGGATGACCATTTAAGCAGTTTATCCTATTCAAAATAGATGATACCTTAAGTTGATTTGCTGTTGTAGGGTTCTTAAAAAAATATTAATTGAATCAGGGTATCTAAAATTATTTTTTGAAATGATGTGATTGTTATAGTAACGGAAAAGTCGTTGAGAACAGTACGACTTTGACGTGTTATACTAAGATCGCTGTGTGACTTTAAATAAATGAGGGGAGACGGCAGGATCTCAGTGCGTCTCCCCCTGAAATTGTAAATGTAGCTTTCAAATGAGGCATTGCACCATGCTAATTGTAATTTGCAATTTGCAGAGGTGATTGGATCTAATTGAGATGCATTGCACGCATGGATTCACACTGATTACAGTACGATTTAGCCGTAGAAATTACATTACGCATTGTGTTTTCAGCGACTTTTGATAGGTACTATAGAATTCACATTAGATCAAAAAACAATTTCGGTAAGATCATATTTCGGCCAATAATTTTTTTTCATAACACCGAGCAAATACCTACCTTAATTAATATCTAGAGATAGAAAGACCATTATATCCCAAAATGAAATTGTAATAATGGGAACTGGAAACAACCGGTGGGTCAAGTCGGAAGCAAGACAAACGTCACTGTCTTACGGTTTTGCTTTTAAGCTCTCACATGAAACCGCTCTCTTTTGTCTTAATCTCTACCTCCATCCATTTTTCTCTTATTTCCACTCTCGCTGGAGACCAAACCTCCACCGGCTCTCCGAAACCTAGCCGGAGCCACCAATATTACATATCTCTTAGTCGACCCTAGCAGGATGAGCAGCGGCGAATTTCTCAGCATCGAGCCTCATGAGATTCAGTTTCCCTGTAACCATCGTCCGAAGCCTTTTATTTTTACCATAAAAAAAAATCAGATTCGCATTGCTCTCCAGATCAATTTCTTCACATTCCCACTGTTTTCGAATTCTTAACATTTGTTGTTCCTGAACTAGTTGAATTGAGAAAGCAGATTTCCTACTCTCTAAACTTGTCTAACAAGACCGACAATTATGTGGCTTTTAAGGTAATCCCACTATTTCTTAAATCTTTTTTGCCTGTTACTTGTTTTCTTCGTAAAGATTTATGCTAAAACTGAAAGAACTGAACTTGTTCTGAGTAAATTAGTATGTAATTTGTTGTAACCTAAGAAGAGTTCGATTCTTATTAGTCTAATTTTTTGTATCTGTCGTTTTTCAGGTCAAAACGACGAACCCAAAAATGTACTGTGTAGGGCCAAACACTGGAGTTGTGCTTCCTAGATCTACGTGCAACGTTATTGGTCTCTCTCCTTGTCCATTTCTAGCTATAGTTATTTTATTTAATCATGTATAAATATTTAGTTGTATTATTCCTTTTTTTTCCTTGTGATAATTTCATGGCAATAAATAGTTAGCTTTGCTGTCAACTTTTTCGTTACATTTCTGTTGTTAATAGTTGGTTTATTTATGGAACCAGTTACAATGCAAGCTCAAAAAGAAGCACCTCCGGATATGCAGTGCAAAGATAAGTTTTTACTACAGAGTGTGGTCGCTAATCCTGGTGCTACACCCAAGGATATAACTCCAGATATGGTATCCATCATACTCTACTGGATTGGTTTTTAAATTTGGGTTTTTGTCTTCTAACCATGTTCTTTTCGATGTGTTAGTTTAATAAGGAATCCGGGCATAAAGTTGAGGAGTGCAAATTATTGGTTGTTTATGTAGCACCTCATCGGCCTCCTTCCCCTGTTAGAGTAGGATCTGAAGAAGGCTCTTCACCTAGGGCTTCAGTTTCAGACAGTGGTAGCTTTAGTGTTGCAGAACTTTCATCTGTGAGTTTCCTTTCCGCTATGTTTGACATGGAATGGTGTTTTGACTTCACTGAGTGGTAATTTACAAGGCAGTTTTAACATTATCATGCACTACTACTACTACTACTGCTACTACTAATTATGGTGTTCATTTCTTGCGTGTGCTGGGAATATCTACTTTTAAGTCGTAGTCTATTTGATTAGCACTATCTTCTTTCAAGATAGGTTAGGTGTCATTTAGTCACCTCTAACGAAAATTACTTTGTATCAGGCTTGTGTTTGCAGACCACACATGGTGGCTTAAAGAGAGCAATTTTAATATATCCCTTTAATGCTATAGAAAGTTAGCAACAACGGGGTACTGGACTTATATGCTAGGGCACACTAGTGTGCACCCAATTATGCAGACAAACTCCTCTAAAAGCTTGTAGAAGATTCAACCTCCGGCCTTCTCTTTTCATGCACAGTTGATGTGACAAATAAGCATGGATCTAATATTTAAATGTGGTCTCCTCTTCCTGTCAAATAACGAATGCTAGTATATTTTTTTATTCTTTCACGTCAAAATATTGATGCTATCCTAAACATTTGCATTTATCAAAAATAAAAAAGAAGTCTTAAAAGATTGATGCTTTGCTGTGGCGTTCTTATTCTGAAAGATACCTTTTAATTGCAGATGAAGTCTCTCATTACTTTGCCATTCAGTAAAATAACAAGCTTCAGCATGAACTGGTAAGTTAATCAGTTTCTTGCATTACTTTGGAATTAAACCTTTGGATCCTCTACTCAGAACCGAAAGATGAAGGAATTGAGACACAAAATGCTAATATGTTATAGCTATATTAGTGCATAATCATTCAAGCATGGTCACCTCCCAGCTGTCAATAACTTATCATTGCCTTTATGTTCATTGCGACCTTACATCAAGACTTAATTTGCAGGAACTCTTGAGACGTGAAGCCAAAAGAGGTCATGACGGTGATATTCCATTCATATGTATCATTATTGTTGGATTAGTTGGCATCATTTTGGGATACCTCTTGAGAAGAACATGACTGCATATCACCAAGGTCCTCCCTTGTTCTTCGACGCACCTTCTTGGGAAAAAAATGAGATGTAGAAAATTGAAAACTCAAATAATTTGAGTGATGAGCTGTAGCTTTTGTTGAATATATTATTTACTATGAATGCTAGAAAAACACGTCCAATGTGTGATGGGTAAGCAACTATTCCTCATGCGAGAAAGGTGCCATTGATGACCAGAAGATGAAGGAAAGTAATTGACAGTGAATGAAGATGAGAAGCTGTAAAAGAGGCAACTCTGTTTACTAAATGTGAAAAATGAATTACAAAATGCTTGAGTCTTTAACCCATTACAACAGTACTTATATAGCACCACTAAACTAAGTTTAACAACTTGATCTAACAAACTAACCAACCTTTAACAAACTCAGTTAATCTTGACTAAACCAATACCAACTAATTACATTCTATTATATTCTATTTCTAACACCTCATTGTATTGCCATGCATTGACAGGTGGATCTTTCTGGTGGGAATTACTGGATTTCATAATCTACTTGGATGCGTTTATATAGTAGCAGGGCATTTGAATTTAGTGTGCCTTATGATCACAAGATTCTATACTTTCCAGAAGGGAACATAATAAGTAAAATCCGTTTGATATTATGAACAATTAATAAAGTCCCAAGAGAACTTTTAATTTTGGTAGTAACTACAACTATTTTCGGCCCACATACTTGTGTTGGATTTGGAACCCATGAAATTTTTCCTTGTATTATTTCATTGGGTTTAAATGGTCTTCTTATTCAATTGCTTTGAATAAATGTGATGGAGGCAAGAATTGAAAGACAAACGAGGCTGCCGAATCCTTTTAGGTTTCACATGGACTTGTCTGTGCTAAGGTTAAATGGCTATGTCGTACAATAATGACAAGCCAACAATGTCTTATTGCCAAATCAAATATGCCTTTCTCTTGTCTTATTCTTAAATCTCATCTAGCTCAGTTGATAGAATGCAAAGCTCTTAATCTTGTGATCGTGGAATCGAGTCTCACTGAGGGCAATTCATAACGGAGATCTTTCACAGAAGCTGCTCTCAACCTGACGTTGGGGGTAGCCTACTACCCTACCTCTCCTATTCTCATTACATATAGAATAGGACCAGCTAATTTTTTTTTGGGTTCATCCCCAGGACTACTTTCTGAGTTTTGTAGGCATATTTTTATGATCCATTAAAAGATTTGAGATGAATAGAATGACGGTCAAACCCTCCACCAAATATAAGAGAAAGAAAGAGTCTTGAGCATGAAGAGATAGGGGAAATAAAGAAAGCCCAATAACGTTAATGGATGGCCATTGCCTTTTTCAAAAAGAATCCAGTGCTTGCTTTTTAGTTTTGTTAAAAATGGAAAATCACTACATAAATAAAAACATTGTGGGATGCGTTGTTTGTAAGCTGACTAAAGGAACAGAGAGTTTTTTAAATAAAAGAAAATGAGGGAGAGAAAGTTAAAAAAGAAGATATGGTGGGCATCTATTGATGAAAACCCATACGTTTTGTTGCGGACGCGCGCGCACCCTTGTATCTCACCTATCCCCTTTAGCTTTTCTCCTTGGATGCTCACTAGGGTTTTTGCCTTCATTTGTTTTTAATTATCACAACATTATTGGTTGATGTTTATTAGTTGCCATCATGCATGGTGCTTTATGTATACCTCAACCAATTCTCACTTTTCCTGTACTACTATCTGCATCATTAGCATTTTTTGGGGGATTAAGATTAGCATTTTGTGTTAGTTTCTTGGTTACAAGTGAATTGAATACTGGTTAACAATCATTTAAAATGATTGGCACATGAAGAACACAAACACATTGCTTAACTGCTAAGACAACATCCAGTGCCTAAAAGGAATGTCAAACTCCAGATATTTAAATTTATTGATGATTACGTTTTTAAAATAACGAGGAGTAGAATAATTAACCTTTTGTTTTTGGGTCAATCAGGGCAAGGCAACAAGGGTTTCTTTTTTCAACCTTTTCGATATTCTTTACCCATGCAATTTGTTTTACGTTTCCTGTGGTCTAGAAGAAATGAAAGTTAGACGAGGGCTTTAATTAGCTGCACCAGTAATGGTTGTTGATTTATAGAATTAGGGTTTAGTTTCAGTGACCTCAGATGTCCAGTCTTTAGCATGATTTTTTTTTACAAACAACTCTTATATCTAGCTAATAATGGCATTCATCATTATGATTATATCTTAAAAAATAATCAAATTATGCGGTATATCTTATCACTTGGTCGTATCCGATATATGACTGAATCCTTCACTCCAAGGCTGGAGCTCTTACTCTCATTTCTTCATTGAATTCCCCGTACGATTTTGATTTTAGTGAGAAGGATAAGGAAGAAAGCTACTTTTCTTTGCATTCTGCTTATGTCCTTTCCTCTCTCAAATGGACCACGTAACCATGATTTTTTTTACTCCACTCTCCATCCACCAACCGCCATAATTTCCATATCTTTTTTGCTATAAAGGCATCCTCATTTTTTTTGTTTGTTACAACTCCATGCATTTCGTGAAAGCTCATCGTACATCTTTGAACTGGCATCATCAGGCTGGGTTTTGTTCTGCCTTGTACGTACACGTGTCCCGACCCAAGATCACAACCTTTCACTCATCTACTATCTATCCATTCCAATCTCCCTGTTCCCTACATTCACAATTACCTTCGAATAAAGCTAGATTCTTACGTTAGCCCGTCGTTTCATCACCCAACAAGTCAACAACAAACATACACTCGGTTTGGTCTTACACAAATTTGAAACTCATGTATTCATCATTGCTAGCCTATGAGATTGAATAATTAAATTGCCATAAAAAAATCATCAACACTTTTTTTATGAATGAACATGAATTGCTAATATACAAACAAAACTGTATAATTATAATAAAAAAAATGAATACATCAATTCGAGAATAACAACAAAAACCAACCATTCGTTTATACAATTTCAATTAGAATTAAGACGGATAAAACATACACATCATAACTCACATGCAACATGGCCTTTATCCTTAAATAATATGACTTGTCTTTAAGATAAAAGTATTTTAGTTTAAAAAACAGAGAGTTGTAAACTAATTATGTAGGGGTCCAATGGCACAACACCCATGTGATCTCATTATCTAAGGCTTTAGAAAAAGTTAAAACATTCATGGATAATACCAAGTGTTGGCAATGCCATGCATAAAATATCACACATAATATGAGTTTCTTATTATGCGATTAATTATCTATTGTTACCACCCTTAATGGACATCCTTGTGTAAAAAACTCGACGAAAGAAAGAATTATTTAATAAGTTTCAGCTAATTCGTGAACCTATGAGGAAATTTAGGCATTCGATGCCAACATCTATGAACGCGGTTCATACATGATTAATATCTATATCAATAAAGGATCTTGATATTAAATTTTGGAGGGATTTAATTAAGAGTTTTAAAAAAAATTAAAGATCTAATCAAAATTTTAAAAGGACAAATTTAATCTTTGTATTTTAATTATTATATTTTTCAAAAATTTAATATTTTTTAAAACTATACTATCCTAAGAAACTTATATTTATCAAACAATTTAATCATATTCATTACATATTTTGCAACTTAAAAGTCAACATTTAAATTTTCGGTTTATCAAACAATTTAATCATATTCATTCATGCTGTGGGGATTCAACTTAAGGGGAAAAATATTAATAGAATTGATAGTACTAATTATAATCTTTGTAATGCTTGGGGTATAGTCTAACCAATCTTTGTTTTTGTAAGTAGGCTGTTAATAGTTCTTTTTGTTGCTAATTGGTTGATTGGTTTTGTAGCAGAACACTGCTCTTTGGATAATAAAAATCTGATTTATCCAAAAAAAAAAAAAAAGACAAGTGGCATATAAATTAATGGTAAGATTTGACTAATTTGCGATTATTGCTTGTATCAAGAAAAAAATTTGAAGAAAACAAAAAATGATAAATTTAAAGTAGAAATGTTAAATGGACAACTTAAGTAAAGAAGAGGGAGTTGTAGCATTTTTTTTGGGCCTGAACGACAAAAAGAGGAACTTGTTGGAAAAGGAAACAGAAATGTGAATTGTCAGTTGTTGGTAGAAAACAATGATATAGTGTTGCATTCAACAACAATTCATTGAATTGAATGTGTAAATGTAAGAGAGTTGATGAAGCAATTTAAAGATCGGCAATTGCTCTTTACCCATTGCATGGTTTGCCTTTGTGGTCTAGTGTATAAATAACTAACAATGGCAACTTAGCCAAGGAAAACGAAGCAAAACAAAGTTACGCCCACATCCGAATTAAGCTGTACAAATCCTAAAATGTTTGGTTTCTTGATACGACACAATAAGAGCAAAGGTACATAGACAATTAGCTTAAAGAAAAGCACAGGCAACAAAAATTCATCATGAAAATGAGAAACTATGATCAGTAAGTTATACGAAACCAATCATCAGCACCTCCAAGCTGAAGCAGCGATTAGCTCCCTCCTCTGCCAGAAAAGAACAAGGGAAGACTGCCTCTTCTCAACATGGAAACCTCTAATAAGAGTTCGTTGGATCAAACACTCAGCTTGAGACTCCGTGAAATTACTGAACGTTAATGGAGAGAATCCATATTGCATAAACAGACTCCTCCAAGGAGGCCTTCTTTCCAGGGACCGATGTCGACCCAACACCATCTTTTCGATGCTAGGTTGAAGGAAGAACCTTTCAATCTTTTCCAAGGCATCGGGGTTCATATTCACAGCATCAAGTGACTCAAGGAGGTCGGAATACGACTGGAGTGCATGGATTATATGGTGGGGAAACGGGACATCGGTTCTGTCGCAACCCCTGTCTGAACAGACTACAATTTTGGGTGACAACTGCTTTACAAAACTAAGGACCAGAGGGAGGGTTGAAGGGTAATTGGAAAATGAACCAATTGGGAGATTAACCGCAATTGCTTCATTCTCAGCAAGGTGCAGGGGCAATGGCCACGAACATGAATTCAGGGACTCAATATTCATGATTTCCATGTCCAAGGCCATGTTGATTTCACTAGCAAAGTGCTTAAGATTTTCCTGGGTGAAACCAAGCTCTAGCTCATCATGATTGGATGGAGAAGCAAATGCAGTGATTTTAATAGAAGGAGCACCGCCGTTTCTTAAAACAAGTTCCTGCATCAAAGAAGCCCATTGCCCACCATACCCAATATCGAAATCAATAATGTGAATCCGACTACATCCTTCAAAAACCTCAACAAGTGCTTGGTTGCAGGTAAAATTGGCGAACTGAACGAGCGGAGAAATCTCAGAGAATGATTTGTAAGCACCAATCTTGAAAATCATGTTATAAGTGGACAAAGCCGATGTGTTGGTAGCGTTCAAACGGAGGAGTAACTGTAAGGCCTCCTTGAAGTAGAAGGCAGCCCTGACAAAGGGCTTACCTACAGGGGAGAGCTGGTGATTGAGCCGCGCCAATATCACTTGCGCGAGTACCGGGTCCCCGGTTTCGATCAGCTCTGCAGCCTGGATTAGTTGGTCGATTAGTGCCTGCTGAAGCTGCTGGTTCGCCAATTCATCACCCACTATTTTCGGTTTCAGTGTAGCTGCCATTCCAATTGTTGTAGTAGGCCTTTGGTGAAGCAACTGAGTTGGTTGTTGTTGGCGCCTGAGATAAAGATCCTGCCCTGGACCCGAAAATGGACTCTTAGGGACCTGATAGTTCGATCCACTTGAGCCAGAGTTGTGTTTCTTAGGCAGTGGAGGTGATAAAAGATTATGTTCTTGCAAATGAGCATATGAAAGTGGGAAGAACATAGCCGGGTTTTGTGTGAACTGAGCTTGATTTCGGTTCATTATCATCTGTGAATTGAAAAGCTGAGGCTTTTCAGCCAAACCTTCAAGGGGCTGATGTTGTGCAAAGACATCGGGAGGGAGTGAAGTAGGCAAGAGATTGTGCGGTGAAGATGTAAATGCAGGATTTGATGGGGCTGAAACCATATCAATAGAAGGGTTCATGTAGCTTACCAGGTTACCACCACTAGTAATGGACTCAAAGCTGAAACCTTGATCCACCAAACCAAAACCAGCATTGAACTCCACATCTTGGGACCCGCCACCTGACTGAAGAATTTTGTTCAGTCCCACAGAAGGGTCATCGACATCACCCATAATTAGCCTCAAAATGGATTGTTCTTGACTAGGAGACCCGGGCAGCACACCCTCCCAATCCTCCATGCCTAAACCACATTTTTCCGTTCCAATATCAAAGGGCTGGCTGCTGCCCTTGTTGTTACCGCCGGAGACAGCTGTCGTTACCGCCACGCCGCTGCTGTCCGTGGAGGCACCACTGCCTCCGTTTTCGCCGAGAGAGGACGACAGTGTTGAAGAAGATGTTGGTAGGCTTGGGCTTTTTCTAGTATTAATAGACGTGGGCTCACAGCCCACAAAGCAGAAACCTTCCTTGTTTTGCCACTTCCGTTGTTGATGAAGATGCTGGTCTTGGAGGAACAAAGATGAATCTGAGCAAGAAGTAGAAGAAGAAGGAAAATCTAGCGCCCCCTTCCCTTGAAACTCCTCAAAGGGTAGGGGCATGGCCTTCATCTACAGAAACCACAAACACAAGTAACCTCCAAAATCCCAAGTACCCAAAACTCTCCAGTTTCTAATACTCAATAAGCCACCACCCAACGGTTAAAAGATAGAAGGGAAAGCCTTGAGTACGAAGCGAGAGGGAAATAAAGAAACCAATTCGGATGTCGTGTTTGTTAATGGAGGGCCTACCACAATTGCTTTTGACAAAGCATTGAGTGCTTACTTTTTAGTTTTGGTATAAAAGGGCAAAAAATAAAAAGAAAAAACTTTGTGTGGGACGCAATGAACGCGTTGTTTTTAAGCCGACTATAAAAGAAATGCAGAAAGAAAATGATGGAGAAGAGATTTAAATAAAACAATGAAGAAAGAGCTGGAGAAGATATGGTGGGCAAGCATCTATTAAAGTTGGACAAGGATAGAAAGTGAATTAGACATGTTCAGGCCTCCACTGATAGGAAGGCTGGACTTGCCTATAAGCCTCGAAATTTAATTACTTTTTTCAACAACAAAAATCATTCGATATCCTGTGTTTTATTAGACTTGAACTGATTCAATTATATGTCACTTATTATTGGAATTCAATTCTGGCATTTGCAAACCATTGACTACGACTACCTTCGAAAATAACAACGTGGATGAGAACAAAAGATGATTGTCTGCGGATAAACTCTGAATGTTTATTGCACAAGCACACACCCGTGGATCGCAGCTATCCCCACCTCATATTGCCTTGTGCTTCACTAATGTTTTTGGCTTTCGCTTCATTTGTTTTGTGATTATAAACTCATATTGCCTTTTCACAAATATTGAAACAATTATTATTAACTTTTGGTTGCAAAAATTGTGGGGGATTATATAACTAATAATGTATGATAGACATCAGGAGGGTCGCTGCATTGCTAAGAGAACATACCTACAGAGCAGAAAAAGGAATATCAAGCCTACGTCAACAAATCATATCCTGCAACTTCCTCTCTTCTTTACAACTTATCCCAATCAAAGATACGTTGTAGTAATGTGCATGTTTCTAGCCACAACGAGAATTGCCGACGAATTAACATTATCGCTGAGGATCTTACAAAGTGTATATATCTGGTTCATGATTATCTGAGAATCACAAGGGAATGCTATAATTCTGGATTAACCTTTGTTTTACCCCAAATTCTGTTTTTATTTATTTATTATTATTGTTATTTTTTAACCATTTTGATATTCTTTTCCCATGCAAAGGGACCCAAGTTGTGCTTCTGTGCTTTTTACTATGCTCCAAATAAAAAAGAAATTTAGTGGTGGCTTTAGATGCACCAGAAATTGTTTGTTGAATTACAGGATTAGACTTTTGTGTTTCATGTGTTCAAATAAATATTAAATGAATTTATGTTACCGAGACTTGGCAAATATGAGCAAAGGTTTGTTCTTAAAAACTACAACTGAATCTGTCACTCTCAAGGAGACTTGATCAAGACAAAAGTGGTTACCTCAATCCCTTGGTGGAAAGTTGTTTATGATAATACTTTCCAGTGGAAGGATGATTTCAAAAAGAAGAGTACAACTTTGATGGGCATCCATATCAAGAAGATGCGTAGCGAAATCCTGAGGTCTGAGTCTTGGAAGAATCTGCTTTCAAGTGTTGAGGTGACTAAAAGGAAACAATCATGTAAGAGGTTTGTCCAGACGACGATAAGGGAGAAAGCCATGGAGCACGTAGCAAAGATTAAAACATCCATCCATTCCTGTGGTTAGCACTATAGGTGGCTTTTAAAACTCAAGCTCATTGGGTTGGCTCTAGTTTTGTGGAGGGCAAGCAAAGATCCATTAAGCCCTGAAAATGACTCCACATTGTCTTTCTAATATCACATTTATGGATACATCAGAAAAATATTCTTTTTGTTCCTCTCCCAATCTTGATTATTACAGCAACAAGCCCACACTTGATGCCTTTAAATTGGGTGCACCATGTATGGCTTTTGCCCCCTTCAGATTCATCTCTCCCAGATGACCCTATGAGATGCTGATTGGCATCAATCAAACCCTAAAGATTGCTTAATCTTACATGACAATGACATTTCACTAGGACGCTCCGTAGGTGATCTGGACATGGACGTTTTTCCATGTCCGTTTACTCATCTCAAGCTACAAAAATACAAGGTCGGGGCGATCATTGGACTGCCATCATCAAGCTCAGTATCGTTATGCACAGTCCGTACACGTGTACGAATCAAGATCACGACCTTTCATTCTCTTTGGAGTGCAGAGATTTACCATATATCTATCCGGTCGTAGCTTTTATTCTCCCCAACATTGCACCACACGAGACAATCAACTACTTGGACTAACGTGAACTTGATGATTTATAATTTCAAAACTTGGTATGGGCCCCTTTCTTGGATTAAAATAATTATTTTAACCTAATTTAGAGATTATTAATGTCTTTCAACCTTTTCAGTTTTCCAATAATTGTATTATACATGTCGTCATTTGTTATAAAAACTACTCTCGTACTATTATTGACTTAATATATATTATATTAATTACATAATTCAATCTTAACCAGAACAATAATTAACTAAAACTAGAATTAAAAAAAACATGTAGAATAAAATTTGAACTTTATTTTAAGGACCCAAGTCCTAAATTTTTTGCTTGACTATGTAATCGTAAGTTGAAAGTTAAAAAGTTGATGTAAGGTAGTATTATAGTAGGTGTTACATCGGTCCAATGGTTCATCACATCGCAACAATGTCGGCTAGTTTTAAGACAGCATATTAATCATTTGCTTAAATATGCTTATACATTCGATTAGACTCAAACTAAATTATCGCCTCTGTCTGTCGGCTTGTCGCTACCTTCAATTTCTGTCTTAGGTTAATATGTAGATTAGACTATGTTGTTGGATAATTACTGAATCTGAATCCTCTCTTTGTTTCTGTCTCCCTTCTCTACTCTTTTTTCTTCTCATCTGTTGTGGGTTTCTTGTTATCAATTAATAATATAGCAATTTTTATACTAATCTGTTACACAATAAATTATGATGGTATAATAAGGAACCACAGCATGTCATTATCTTTCTCTTATGTCACATGCAACCTGGCCTTTATCCTTAAATAATATATAATTCTGTTTTTAAGAAAATAGTTTTGGTTGGAAAAAAAAACTAAACTAATAATGTGGGTACAACACCCATGTGATCATATTAAGAGAGGCATTTAAGAATTCAAATGTGTTAAATCAAACATCACAACAAAAATTCAAGGTATGAAAATATACAAGTGGTGGCATGCATATTATCATATAATAATAATAATTTAAAAAAAAACTATGCTTAACTACAAGCTGACATAACGATATCAATTATCTATTGCAACCGCCCTTAATGGACATCTTCATGACAAATCCTTCAACAGACAATGTATTTTTAATAAGCTTGGGTTAATGCATGAACCTGAGGGAATTTAGGATTTCGGTGCCATAAATCTATCAACTTAAGTCATCATCAATACCACACCCTCATGTTAAAAAAAATACCAAGATTCGATTCGACCATCCAAGGGTCTCACACCAAACATAAATATATTATATCAGTTTAATAATTGTGCTTGTCAAGAAAACGAAAAAAGGATGATCTGATGGGAAGATGTCTAAGCAAGCTTTCCTTTTTCACTTGTGGGCTTCCTAACCAAAAAAGTTTTACACAGATGCAGTTTACACAAAGTTTAAATGCTGCATTCAGCAGCAGAAAATATACAAGTTAAAATCCATAGCTGTTGCAACTGTATAACATAAAGAGAGTTGATGACATGATCAAGAAATTAAAAGTTCTTCATTCCCAGAATTTGTTTTTGCCTTTGTTGTCAAGTTACAACAAAGGGAAAACTTAGCAAGGAGTAAATAACCAAAACAGAAAGTTACCCACATCAGAAGCTGTACATAGCCATACAGTTGCTAAAATGTTTTTGATAGGAAACAATCGATCTACGGTGGTACATGAACAATTAACAGAAATTTCAAAGCATGAAATAAAAAATCAAGAAACTAAAACCAGTACCTTTGAAGCAAAGTTGATTTGATTGAATCACCGTTATGCTCAGCACCTCCAAGCTGAAGCAGCAATTAGCTCTCTTCTCTGCCAGCAAAGAACTAGTGAAGACTGTCTCTTCTCAACATGGAAACCACTAATTGGAGTTCGTTGAATCAAGCACTCCGCTTGGGACTCGGTGAAGTTACTGAATGTTAATGGAGAGAATCCAGATTGTATAAACAGACTCCTCCAAGGAGAAATTCTTTCCGGGGACCGATGTCGACCCAACACGATCTTTTCGATGCTAGGTTGAATAAAGAACCTGTCAATCTTTTCCAAGGCATCGAGGTTGATATTCACAGCATCAAGGGACTCAAGGAGGCAAGAATATGATTGGAGTGCATAGATTATATGGTGAGGAAACGAGACATCCGCTCTGTCGCAACCCCTGTCTAAAGACACTACAATTTTGGGTGACAACTGCTTTAAAAAACGGAGGACCAGAGGCAGGATTGAAGGATAATTAGAAAATGAACCAATTGGAATATTAACAGCAATTGCTTCATTTTCACCCAAGTGCAGAGGCAACAGCCAAGAACCAGAATTCAAGGACTCAAGGCTCATAATTTCAATGTCGAAATCCATGTTGATTTCACTCGAAAAGTGCTTGAGATTATCATGGGTGAAACCAAGTTCTATCTCATCATGGGTGGATGAAGAAGCAAAGGCAGTGATTCTCATAGATGGGGCACCACCGCTTCTTAGAACAAGTTCCTGCATCAAAGAAGCCCATTGCCCACCATACCCAATATCGAAATCAATTATATGAACTCTACTACACCCTTCAAAAGCCTCAAGAAGTGATTGGTTGCAAGTAAAATTCGCAAACTGAACAATCGGAGAAATCTCAGAGAATGACTTGTAAGCACCAATCTTGAAAATCATGTTATTCGTGGACAAAGCGGGTGAGTTGGTAGCGTTCAAAGGAAGTAGTAACTGTAAGGCCTCCTTGAAGTAGAAAGCAGCTCTGATGAAGGGTTTACCTACAGGGGAGAGCTGATGATTGAGCCGCGCCAATATCCCTTGCGCAAGTGCCGGATTCCCGGTTTCTATCAGCTCTGCTGCCTGGATTAGTTGGTCGATTATTGCCTGCTGAAGCTGCTGGTCAGCCAGTTCATCGCTGACGATTTTCGGTTTCACAGTGTCTGCCATTCCGATTGTGGTTGGCCTTTGCTGAAGGATCTGGATCTGTTGCTGTTGGAGCCTTAGATAAAGCTCCTGCCCTGAACCCAAAAACGGAACCTTAGGGCCCTGGTAGTTTCGTCCACTTGAGCCAGAGTTAAATCTCTTAGGCGGCGGTGGTGATAAAAGATTATGTTCTTGTAATTGACCATATGAAAGTGGCAAGAACATAGACGGGTTTTGAGTAAACCGAGTTTGATTTTGGTTCATTATCATCTGCGGATTGAAAATCTGAGACTTTTCATCCAAAGCTTCAAGTGGCTGCTGTGCAAAGACAGCAGGAGGGAGTGAAGTAGGCAAGAGATTGGGTGGTGAAGATGTAAATGCACGATTTATCGGGGCCGAAACACAGGGAAAATCAATGCAACTTCCAGCTATGGGAGGGTCAATGTTGCTTACCAAGTTGCCGCCACTACTAATGGACTCAAAGGTGAAACCCTGCTCCACCACACCAAAAGCTGCATTGAATTCCATATCATGCGACCCGCCACCTGACTGAAGAATTTTGTTTAGTCCCATACAAGGGTCATCGACATCACCCATAATTAGCCTCAAAATGGATTGATCTTGGCTAGGAGACCCGGGCAAAACACTCTCCCAATCCTCCATGCCTAAGACACATTTTTCCGTTCCAGATTCTAAGGATTGGCTATTGATGTTGCCGGAGACAATCTTCGTTGTCGCGAAGCCGGTTGTGACCGTGGAGGCACCGCTGCCTCCGCCGCCGTTCCCACCGAGAGAGGAAGACAGTGTTGAGGAAGATGTTGGAGGACTTGGGCTTCTTCTAGTATTAATAGATGTGGGTTCACTGCCCACATAGCAGCAACCTTCCTTATTGTTCTGCCACTTCTCTTGTTGTTGACGATGACGATGCTGGTTTTGGAGTAAGAGTGATGAATCTGAGCAAGAAGTAGAAGAAGAAAAATCAAACTCGCCCTTCCCTTGAAATTCCTCAAAGGATAGGGGCATGGCCTTCATCTACAGAAACCAAAAACACAAGTACCCTTCAAAAATCCAAGCAGCCAAAACTCCCCAATTTCCAATACTCAATAAACCACTAGTTATACTAAAAGAAAGAGTCTCGACACCAAAAGTGAAGGATTCGTTTGATTATTTAGCAAAGAAGAAGTTAAATAAGACACAAATTTTAATAGGAAAACCAACTCAAATTTTGGACGATAAACTTTCTAAAAGATCAAAAATGAAAAAATAAATACTCCTACCATTCTAGACTTTGCTTCTTCTTCTACTTGAGCTTTCAATCCATGGATGTTATTGGTAGCTCAACACCCATTTTTGCTGCCATCTTTTCCCTATTGTTATTCTATGCCCTTTTTTTTCTTTTTTTCTTTTTTTCTTTTTTGAGCTTCTGTTTTCTGCTATGGATGCGTGCAGCATATAAAAGTGGTAAAGTGCCATTCATCCCCCCCTCCTTTCTTTTCCCTCTATTTTCTTTCATTTACATAAATTATAATGTTAGCCACTAAACTTTAGGATTTATATCACTTTTAGCATTAAACGTTTAAATACTTCAATATAAGTATAGATCTTTGGTTCAATTTAATGCACTAGACTTTTGAATTTGAAACGACGCGATGATGTGATAATTTTAGTATTCATTTCTACTGATGTTGGAGGTAAAAACATTTATTTATTTCATATTATTATCATCTTTATCAAAATTAGAATTTGTTTCATATATTTTTAGTATCCGTATGAAATCATCATTTTTTAACATTTTCTATGGTCACTCTAAGCCCTTATGAACTTGGTCCATCGTTATCTACCAATTTATTAGCTTAGTTTCTTAAAATATATTTAAAACTCATAAAATTAAATATAAAAATATGTTATTTTTTGTTTGTAGGCTTTCTCGAATTAATAAAAATGAGGAGTTTAAGATTGAGAAACATTCTTCCGAGAAGATGAGTAACATACCTACAAATTAGCCTAGTTGAAAAAGATTATAGAATTAAAACATTGAATCTTTAGATAATCTTTTATCGATTTTGAGTGAATTTTGTAGAACATCAATTCAAATGAAATATGAATAAAATACACATATTTTAATACCAAATATATCACTAATGGGGACATGATGGATGATAATTATTCAAAATGATGATCGAAAAAGTTGATAACTTCTTACCCAAAAAAATCATCTAATCACCTCATTAACGATTTGGCAGTATAATACTTTAATTAAACCTAAAACTAAAGTTTATTGCTTACATTAAAACACTTTAAAGTTTAATGTTAAATTTAGTATAACACCTAAAGTTTGGTGACTAACATTGTAGTTTACCCAATTGTTTTGTAATGGTTTGTAAATTATGGTTTTCACTCTGCTTTTTGCTTTGATTATTATAGGCACGTCGAATTGTTGTTTATAATATTTTAGCTTTCGGAGAGACCAGAGGTGAAGTGGGTCAGAAGTTATTTATTCAAATCCTTAAGATACCCTTCCCTTGTCCTAAGATTTTGGGAAGTGTAGGAAGGCAGTTCCGGAATTTCAACCCAACAGATACTGTTCGGCTTGTTTTTCGAAACTGAATCTGACGACTCGAGATTATGAGAGTTGGCTTTTTTTTAGGGTGAGTTTTTTTCTCAAAATATCGACAAAGGTTGAGATATTTTACTTGTGTGGCTGTGACTTAGAACAGCCTCTCGGGTCTATGAGTCTCCGTAAAGATTTTTTATATACAATGACTCGAACCTAAAATTTTACTTAAACGAAATCAAGTTGCTTATTATTAGAATCATGAATAACATTTATTAAGTTCGGTGTTAATACAAAAGTTTAATAAAAGTTTAAATGATTATTTTTTCTTGTATTGTCTTCTTCGTCAAAATTAATATTTTTTAAACTATTAAGTGAAATTGATAGTAAAAGAAAATATCATTTTTGCTATAAGTTTTGAGTTTAAACAATTACATATATTATGCATGTATTGTCAATTGATTAAGAAAATTTTGAATAATTACTACCTTATAATCAGTTCAAAATATTAAAAAATTAATATTTTTAATCGTTTTAGCCATAATTGAAAACGATCCTTTAAAAAAAATCGATGAGAAACTTCGTTAAAATTAATATTTTTTAAATTTATTAAGTAATATTGATAGTAAAAGAGAATATCATTTTTTTAAGAAATTTTTGGTTTAAACAACTACATCTACCATGTACGTATTGTCAATTGATTAATTTTTTTAATAAATACTACATTATAATTAACTCGGTATGTTAAAAAAATTATTCATTTTAGTCATATTTGAGAACGATCCTTTTATGATTTCTTTGGCAACCACCTTAATTATATTATTGTCTTTTATCACTTATTTTGATATTTTGGCTTTCTCAAAATTGATAAGTTTTGTATATTTATTCTAAAATTCAAATTGTGAGAAATATTTTTTAGAATATAAATAATATACCGATAATCTAGTATCATTGAACGATCTTCATATGAGATCAAAACATCGAGCATTTAGAAGAATTTTCGTTGATCTTGGGTGACACTTATGAAAATTAATTCAATAAGAGGAAAGATACAAACATTTTGATATTATTTTTGTCGTAAATAACGACGAGTGATAGACAACAAATACAATTGATCAATAATGAGAGCCAAAGGAATTGAAGATTTTCTACATAAAATGATAAAGAAATGGTCACATTATTATATCATTAACAGTTTAACGATCTAATATATTAAAATATAATCAAGTAGCCTTAGTGGTAGAAAGGGGTATTATTTTCTTTAGAAATTCTAAATTTGAACATTAATATATTAATTCTAAATAAAAAAATATTTTGTAACCATATTGTATTATTAAAAAATATATAAATTAAATTTTAGTGTTAAAATCAAAATGTTTTAAAATTTATTGCTAAAATCATTTCACAATCCAAATTTTTAGTGACTAAATTAATTTTATTTTATTTACTGGATTATTAAATAGGAAAAGTATTTGAATTTGCTAAGTCCTTTTAAGTTCGACTCGTGGACCAATCGGCTGAGTCTGGCATGTTTGCATGACATATCGTTTTCTTTTATTTCTCGTAAAATTTGTTTAAAAGATTAAAGATGTTTCTTTCTTGGGAAATCAAGCCTCATAGTTATTTATCTTTTGTGTGTGAACACATTTTTTTTATTAATCTTAAATGATTATGAGGTAATATATGTTTAAAAAGTTTTCAATCATTATATAATGAACATTCGAACATTTTTACATATGTAGTGTTCGAACCTAAATTTTTTTAAAATAACGATAATATATTTAATTATTGAAGTTGCTTGATTCATACGTGTATTAAACATGTTTAAACTCATCTATATTGAATTAAACCAATAAACTATTTGATTTTAAAATTTCTATTAAAATTATTCTTAGATTCATTTTAGGATATATTTTAATATGTCAATTTAACATTAAAGTTTAATTTGATATCTAAATTTTGGTTCAAGTATGTACGTTAATGTGATTTTAAGATTTAATTTAATATAGAATTTTTAGTTATATATGAATAGGCTTTTAAATTAATATTGGTACTTATGAGGTTTTTTTTTATAAATCTGAACCAATGAGTCATGATTATACCAAGTTGAATAAAAAAAATAAACTCAGTTGTTTAATTGGATAAAAAATTAAATTAAATTAAATATTGAAACCAAATTTAAATATCTAATTGTACAAAAAATATAGATACCAAATTAAACTTTAAATCTAATTTCATATACAAAAATGTTGATTTACCCTCAATCTTTTGAAAATCTTTTCCTCCTCTCGCCTGAGAGAAAATTCATTTTAAAATAAAAGGTTTAAAAAAAGATTTTGAGTTCCTTTTTTCTTAAGATAATTAAATGCTGTTCGGTGGACAACTAAAGTTGTGTGAACATTTTATATTTAGATATACTGATTAATATAAAATAGATACATTAATTTTTTATTATTTAATTAATCTAATCTTTTATTTAAGATATTAAATTTTATTTTTTTACTGTAAGTTTTTTTTTGTTTAATATAGGGTGTTTACAAGTGGTAGTATATGTAGTAAAGATTATCATTAATGTTCAAATCTGATACCTCTAGAGATCATAATCATCTTTTAATCACTGATATCAGTTGGTTCATGCTACTTATAAGCCTTTAAATTTCGTATCTTAAATTAATTTATAATTAATATTTATTATTTTTCTTCAAACATATTTGAAAAAAAAAAAGAATTGACTGAAAGGCTAGCAGACCCAATTAAGCAATCGATCAATTATTTAAAACCAAAATTATATCTAAAGAGTAACATGACGAAACCAAAACAACAAATAATTGATATAGAAAGCAAAACGTGTATAATAATTGGAAAAATAATTATTTATTTGTGGTGGAGCAACAATTGTACTTACTATTCTTTTTCCAGGTAAAGAGATATGATCTTAGGTCTTCCAACTTCATTCATCCATAGCGATTGAGAAGCAAAGAATAATTATTGTTTACATTTCATTGCGTGCCATACATTCTACAAAGTAAAAGAAAACCATGAAACAACAACCATGCATGTAGTTTTCGACCTCATTTAGTATAATACGTGTATTAACCATAAAAGACTCGAAATAATTCATATTGAGACAAAATTTATATAAATTTATTTATTGGAAAAATTAAATTCAAGGCAAATTTAAATATAATTAGAGTTTAATGTAATCATTAAGAGTCTTAATAGAAATACAATTAATGTCGTTTTCTATCTATCATATTCCCTTACTTTCCTATGACTCACAATCATGAAAATGAAAAAAAAAAAAAGACATGGTAAAACATATCCTTTTCTTCATGTGATTTCATCATCAAATTTCACATTTTTGTCCTCTAGGATCCATTAAAAATGGGTATAACTAAACTTGATGCGAAAACGGGGAGCTTTTGTTTAAATGTACTCGAAAGGGTAATGAAGTACAAAATTCAAGTGGGGGAATTTAATAATGGAAAATGAAGGGGCATTACAGGAAGGTGGATTGGGTGGCTAAATCTACGAGATAATGTGTTGGAATTATTTATTTCACGAGATAACGTTCTCCCAAGATTAATTGTTGAAGTAGGGCGAATTGTACAGTGTTGGCCGTAGGTCGCCATGCCTTCCGGGCGACCTACGACGTGGCAGCTTCCGACGAGTGAATGATCGTGTGCATGGGACATGCACAACCCAACCCATAGGTCGCCATGCACTCCGGGCGACCAAGGAGGTCGCCATGCATGCCCGGCGACCAAGCTTTTAACCCTTGCACGCCCTGCATGTCATAGCTGGGAGATTCCTGCCCGACGACCAAGCTTTAACCCTCTGCTCCATCATGCATGCGTTGCATCCATAGAGCGGAACGTGC